ATTGATGGTCACACACATTGGTGTTTTATTTTATTGCTGTTGCTTTGGAAATGGTACTATAGGGACCGAATTATATTTTAAGGCTTACGGCATCTGTTATGATATTGACTGAAACAAAATCCCCATCTTCCACCAACCCTTAACACAGAATAAGTCCATGCAATTGCATTCATCCCTTGAGGTCTTGGGCAGTGTATTTCTTGATTAACGTGTGTGTTTATGAAATTCTAAATGCACTTTGATGTTGCTGTAAAAACAATGTAGTATGTTAATCCTAAATTAGGCTTTCTGCATAAGCCCTCAATAGCCAGTCAAGTGAATTTCACCACTCATGGAAACGATTGTTTTACCAAAGCGCCCTCTATTGGCAAGAGGTAGATAATGCAGAACATGGTGTTTGTTTTGGCTCTACAAAGCAAACGGGTCTTTCCATGTTATTTTGTTGTTTAGTCGTTTAGTTGTGTCCGACTCTTCGTGACCCCATGGACCAGAGCACGACAGGCTCTTCTGTCTTCCACTGCCTCCTGCAGCTTGGTCAAACTCATGCTGGTAGCTTCGAGAACACTGTCCAACTATCTCGTCCTCTGTCGTCCCCTTCTCCTTGTGCCCTCCATCTTTCCCAACATCAGGGTCTTTTCCAGGGAGTTTTCTCTTCTCATGAGGTGGCCAAAGTATTGGAGCCTCAGCTTCAGGATCTGTCCTTCCAGTGAGCACTCAGGGCTGCTTTCCTTCAGAATGGAGAGGTTTGATCTTCTTGCAGTCCATGGGACTCTCAAGAGTCTCCTCCAGCACCATAATTCAAAAGCATCCATTCTTCGGCGATCAGCCTTCTTTATGGTCCAGCTCTCACTTCCATACATCACTACTGGGATGTATGTTAGAAACTACTGGGATTTCCATGTTAGAAACCCGCTTTAAGGTATAAGGCAGTCTCTTTGAACTATTCATGAAGGCACTAAGAGATGACATCGGGGGATTGGGGGTGAGGTGCCATCGACAAATGACACCCAGCTCTCTCTGTTCCATATGAAGCAGGAGAGGCAGGTCTGGCGTTGCCTGGAGGTGGAAAAGACAGAGGTGCTGTGCCCTGTGGGATCTCAGATTAGGAAACTGGAGAAATGACCTGTTTTGGATGAGACTGCACCCCGCTTGAAAGTACAAGTATGTAACTTGGGGGTGTTCAAGAGATCCAGCTTTAGCTCTGGAGGCGCAAGTGGCTTCAGTGGACCTGAGCTCCTCTTTCTAGCTACAGATGGTTTGTCAGCTGTTACCATTGCTGGGCAAAGAAATCCTGGCCCCAGCAACTCACGTTCTAGCTAACTTCCAGGCAGGACTGTTGCAATGTACTGGGCGTGTGTGGTGCCCACAAAACCTGCCTTGGTTACTAATTTGCTCCCAACCCTAATTCAAGGGACTTATATTGACAACGGAAACTGCTTGGGTCCCAAATATATGAAGGAGTGTCTCCTTTTGTATCAACCTACCCAGCAGGACGCGGGTGGCGCCTAGGACTTGCCGATCATAAGGTCGGCAGTTCAAATCCCTGCGACGGGGTGAGCTCCCGTTGCTCGGTCCTAAATTAAAAAAAGAAGCAGTGGACAGAGCTCCATGCCCCAGGTGCCCAGAAATTAGAAATTTTAGGTATATCCTAAGTGCTAGAATAAGGGACACGGGCGGCGCTGTGGGTTAAACCACTGTGCCGCTTGGGCTTGCTGATCGAAAGGTCGGCGGTTCGAATCCCCACGAAGGGGTGATCTCCCGTTGTTCGGTCCCTGCTCCTGAAAACCTAGCAGTTTGAAAGTATGCAGTGCAAGTAGAAAAATAGGTACCGCTCCAGCGGGAAGGTAAACAGCGTTTCCGTGCACTGCTCTGGTTTCGCTAGAAGCGGCTTAATCATGCTGGCCACATGACCCGGAAGCTGTACGCCAGCTCCCTCAGCCAATAAAGCGAGATGAGCGCTGCAACCCCAGAGTCGGCCATGACTGGACCTAACAGTCGGGGTCCCTTTACTTTTTACCCAAGTTTTTGGATTGGCAGGAGTCTCTCTTTAAGACAGCACCACTGGCAGAAGTTCACGTGGCAGCAAACATGAGAGGGCCATCTCTGGGGCAGCCCCCCAGGGTCATGGAATGCCCTCCCCTCCAAGGTGTATCTTGCACCAATACGATATGCTTTCTGTTGTCAAGCCAAGTAATACCGCTTTGCTCAGCCTTCAGGGTGTGGAGTGGAAGTACTCAAATTTCTGCTGCAGAATGCTGTTAAATTCTGTATTCACTGCAGGTGTTAATTACAGTGGTACCTCAGTTTTCGAACGCCTCCATAGTCAAACGTTTCAGAACTCGAACGCCGAAAACCCTGAAGCCTTGGTTTCCAAATGCGCCTCGGAAGTTGAACAGGAAAGGCAGTTTCCGTTTTGACTTTTCCGAATTGAGGTTTCCATTTTGAGGCTTCCGCTATCAGTTTTGGAACTTAAACAGGGTTCCAGAACAGCTTACGTTTGAAAACCGAGGTACCACTGTATTGCTTTTATGTTTTATCATATTGTGTATTTTAATTTTATACTAATGTACATCCCTTGCCCTGGGACCATTTGGAGAAATTCAGTCTATAAATGTAGTTAAGTACCGTATTTTTCGCTCTATAGGACGCACTTTTCCCCCTCCAAAAATTAAGGGGAAATGTGTGTGTGTCCTATGGAGCGAATGCAGGCTCCTTGGCTTCAGCGATAGCGCTCCCTCTGCGCTTTGGAGGCTTCGCGTTGCTTTCCGTTATATAAATATATATAAAGCCTCCAACGGCTACTCTTTACATGGGGGGGGGGGGTCCCCATTCACACCCATGGAAGCTTTTCTTCAAATGCAAACAGCAGGTACAGGGTCTGCAATCCAGATCAGAAGCCCCCTGTAAACACCACGACCAGAGCCAGGGTCATGGTCTGCATCAGGACCTTCACAGCTGCAATTCATTTTTTACACATCTAGAACATTAAAAGTGCTTTATTTGGGTATACAGTGTTTATTATCTGCACTCCCCCCCCACCTGATCTGTGGCAAGTGGGCGCATCTCAGGAAATGCCCTTTGTGTAGTTGTTAAGTGCTTTTCTGCCTCCCCTTCACTGGCAGCTTTCTGGCACGCTTTTAAGAACTAGACTTTTCACAAAGCATTGGGCAGGACAATGAATTGTACCTCCCGATTTGATTTTAATCGGGGTCCTCGCATTTTATTTTGTTGCAATGATTTACCTCCCCCCCCCCCACCAATTGGGATGCGGGTGGTGCTGTGGTCTAAACCACTGAGCCTCTTGGGCTTGCCGATCAGAACGTCGGTGGTTCGAATCCCCACGACGGGGTGAGCTCCCGTTGCTCTGTCCCAGCTCCTGCCAACCTAGCAGTTCGAAAGCACGCCAGTGCAAGTAGATAAATAGGTACCGCTCCGGCAGGAAGGTAAACAGCGTTTCCGTGTGCTCTGGTTTCCGTCATGGTGTTCTGTTGTGCCAGAAGCAGTTTAATCCTGCTGGCCACATGACCCAGAAAGCTGTCTGTAGACAAACAATGGCTCCCTTGGCCTGAAAGCGAGATCAGTGTCACAACCCCATAGTCACCTTTGACAGGACCTAACTGTCCAGGGGTCCTTTACCTGTACAGTCATACCTCATGTTACATTTGCTTCATGTTATGTTCTTTCGGGTTACGTCCCGCGGCAACCTGGAAGTACCGGAAAGGGTTACTTCCGAGTTTCGCCGCTTGCACATGCGCATACGCGCAAAATGATGTCACGCACATGCGCAGAAGCGCCGAATCGCAATCCGCGCCGCTGCTGATTGCCCTCTTTTCACAGATCCCGTTCGCAACCAGAGGTACCACTGTACTTTTTACCAATTTTTTTACTATTTCGCACAGTGTTCTTATTTGGAACTCTTCAGGTAGCAGCCCTCATGGAGAAGAGCCTCGGATATAATCCCAAGTTGTTGGGTAAACGTGTAAGGGTTCGTGATAAAACACAAACAAGCTTTTCAGAAGGATGCTGAGGGTGGGGGGACAGTATTTGAGGATCTCAATAGCAACACCCACACTCTGGAGCAGGGGTAGGCAACCTAAGGCCCGTGGGCTGGATGTGGCCCAATCACCTTCTCAATCCGGCCTGTGGACGGTCTGGGAATCAGCGTGTTTTTACATGAGTAGAATGTGTGCTTTTATTTAAAATGCATCTCTGGGTTATTTGTGGGGCATAGGAATTCATTCATCCCCCGCCCCCAAATATACAGTGGTACCTCTGGTTAAGTACTTAATTTGTTCCAGAGGTCTGTTCTTAACCTGAAACTGTTCTTAGCCTGAAGCACCACTTTAGCTAATGGGGCCTCCTGCTGCCGCCGCGCCGCCGGAGCATGATTTCTGTTCTCATCCTGAAGCAAAGTTCTTAACCTGAAGCACTATTTCTGGGTTAGCGGAGTCTGTAACCTGAAGTGTATGTAACCTGAGGTAACACTGTAGTCCAGCCCACCACATGGTCTGAGGGACGGTGGACCGGCCGACAGCTGAAAAAGGTTGCTGACCCCTGCTCTGGAGTGTGCTGCTACAAATGGAGCCAGTCCTTTTAACTTCCCTCCATCTGTTTCAGCATCCAGCCAAGCTGTTTCTATTTGTGAAAGTGTTTGCTAATTGCTGATATTTTAACGCTGTGGTTAAAATCTGCATTGCAGTGGAGTTAGATTTGATGGCTTTAACTTCTAATGATTGATGGCTTGCTTTAAACATTTTAGCTGTTTTACAACTGGGCGAGTTTCAGATGCTCTGAGTAGTTAGAAAAGCAAAGAATGAGTCTTTTAAAAAATAAATTATTGATATCCTTATCACAATCAACCAACATTGAGGCAAAACTTAAAAACAATACATATTTTCAGCGTGCATGGGAGTGGCAAATGAAGCTTGATCCCTGCAAAACAAACAATCTAAATAGTCACTTCAATTACATTTTGACACTTATGCAAATATTCATCTGTTAAATGTACAAATAATATTTATTAGAAAAAAATTATACAGACATGTAAAAAATAATCTGAAAACAAGTGAAACTACATTAGATGTTTATACAATTTCAAGGTTTTTAATTATTATTTTAAACTCCAGTTTCTATATATATGTAGTAAAATTCCCAAAGCGGAACAACATGAAATGTGAAACACATTATATGAATATACCATATATACACATTCTCACAGAGAAAGCATCTCATTTTTCTATATACTGTAGATATTGTGTACAGAACTCAAACCACGCTTCAGTTAAATTCATTAAAATTGAAAAGCCTACTAGCATGAATAAAGGACATGATTTGATCGAAAATATTCTCTTTTCCTTTTGAGGCAAATTGACAAATTTAGGGAGTAGACAAATCAGTTTTGAAAGTGGCCAGAGAGTTATCACTTCTCATTATGTGAATTTATTTGTTTTGCTCCACTGTCATCTCTGGTCAAAAAGACGCACTTGATTTAGAAACAATACCTCAAATCTACAAAACCTGTTTACAGATGCAGGCTTCACATCATGAGAAGGAATCCTTCTTTAAAAGTGCCTTAAGCTTTGCAGAGACTAGTGAACAAAGAAGCAAAACAAATGTTTTTTTTAAAAGTTCGTTTCATCCACATTTCCAGTGAAAGTTGTTTGGAGAACATTTGGCGTAACTAAAAAGAGACTTTGTAGTCTCGGGAATTCACTTCCTGCAAGACCGTTTGCAAGAGAACACTTCTATTTGCATAGATGAACATTCCCCCCTCCCTGCCCCGATTTAAAGAGCTAGTAAGACAATCTATTGTCTTCTTGTGGCATTTAAGGCAATGCTCAATAGCTTATTGTTTCTACTGCCACACAAAGTACTTCAGGCTACATTGAACAAAGATGTCCTCACGACATCTCAACAAGAGTTTATGTTTTCTGCCAGCCTCCAAGGAGGGAGGTTCATGACTCTTCGCATCTGAAGGAGGTTATTTCAGATGGCATTGCCACATTTTCCTTTATGGTAAAAAAAGCCGTCCTCCAGGAACTTTATGAGCAGCCTTCGGTTCTCCCAGCACACTTCAGTAGACTGCGGACTTCTGCTATGCCGCTCGTGACAGCAGGAGGAAGGCTCTTCGCATTGACTGCTTCCCAAGCTTGGATGGCCTCCAAGACTTTAGGTGGATTGCTAGGACCCAACTCGCAAAGTGCATATGCCGCTGCCAACTGGACGCCCCAGGCCACATCTGCAAAGATGGGAAAGAGAACCATTAATAATGCCCTTGACCAAAAGCCATTCAGGGTTGCGAAAGGAACACAGTCAACTCAGCGGAATATGGCACTTCCTTCTGGCATCCTGGTCTCTTAAGCATTTGCGTTTCCCAGGTCAAACTCGCTTTTCAATTTCCCCTCACACCGAAGCTGGGCTTCACTGCCTCTAGAGAGATTATTATTTTTATATAGGAAGCAGTATAAAGGTAAAGGTAAAGGGACCCCTGACCATTAGGTCCAGTTGTGACCGACTCTGGGGTTGCGGCGCTCATCTCGCTTTACTGGCCGAGGGAGCCGGCGTACAGCTTCCAGGTCATGTGGTCAGCATGACTAAGCCGCTTCTGGCGAACCACAGCAGCACACGGAAACGCCGTTTACCTTCCCGCCAGAGCGGTACCTATTTATCTACTTGCACTTTGACGTGCTTTTGAACTGCTAGGTTGGCAGGAGCAGGGACTGAGCAACGGGAGCTCACCCCATCGCGGGGATTCGAACCGCTGACCTTCTGATCGGCAAGTCCTAGGCTCTGTGGTTTAACCCACAGCGCCACCCGCGTCCCTAGGAAGCAGTATAGAAATGGTCTAAATAAGCAGAACGCCCACGAATGTTCCTGGGCGTCTCCTTAGCACAGGGCAATAGCTGTCAGATGCTTCACCGCATTACAGTACAGGGCAGATTGGTTGTTACCTTTCTCTTTGGCATGCTGGAGAAAGACCCCAATAACGGAACTGATATTTTCGACCGCAGAAAAAAATCCTTCTCTCAGTCCAATTTGGCCTAGACGACCTGTGAAGAATCAACAGAAAGGGGTGATTGTTATGTAAAGTACTTCAGAGTGTGGGGGGCTGGGGGGCACTGACATAACTACATACGACAATGAATGAGGATGAAGCTAGGCTAGAAAATCTCTTCTGCCCCCCCCCATCGGACATCCAGCTGCTGCATGGAGGAGCTTAAAGTGACCGTCTTCGTCCTGCTGAAGGAAGCGAAGATCTCCTGGCACTTTATAAGCAAGGAATTTGCATAATGCGGGGGAATGGGTAAGAGTCAGATCCTGGACATATTACAGTGGTGCCTCGCAAGACGAAATTAATCCGTTCCACGAGAGTCTTCGTCTAGCGGTTTTTTCGTCTTGCGAAGCAACCCTATTAGCGGCTTAACGGATTAGCGCTATTAGCGGTTTAGCGGCTATTAAAGGCTTATCGGCTTAGCGGATTAGCTGCTAAAAGGCTTATTAAAGGCTTAGCGGCTTAGATAAAGGGGGGGGGGGAAAGCGAAAAAAAAATCTCAAGACTCGCAAGACATTTTCGTCTTGCGAAGCAAGCCCATAGGGAAGTTCGTCCTGCGAAGCAACTCAAAAACGGAAAACCCTTTCGTCTAGCGGGTTTTCCGTCTTGCGAGGCATTCGTCTTGCGGGGCACCACTGTATTTGGTTCTGATAAGGCAGCAAGCGTGAGAGAGTTGTACAGGGCACAGCTAAGAAGGCAGCAGAAGGGAGACAAAGAAGGAAGAGCAAAGACAGCCAAATCCACGTCTATTAATCAGTCCTTCTGTCCTCTGACTCCAAGAAGCATGTTGCCATTCAGCCAGAGATAAAATGGATACAGGACACTGCAGAGATCATATATAATAATAATAATAATAATAATAATAATAATAATAATAATAATAATTTATTATTTATACCCCGCCCATCTGGCTGGGTTTCCCCAGCCACTCTGGGCGGCTCTCAACAGAATATTAAAAACACGATAAAACATCAAACATTAAAAGCTTCCCTAAACAGGGCTGCCTTCAGATGTCTTCTAGAAGTCAGGTGGTTGTTTATTTTCCTTGACATCTGATGGGAGGGCGTTCCACAGGGTGGGTGCCACTACCGAGAAGGCCCTCTGCCTGGTTCCCTGTAACCTCACTTCTCGCAGGGAGGGAACCGCCAGAAGGCCCTTGGCGCTGGACCTCAGTGTCTGAACTGAGCAATGGGGGTGGAGATGCTCCTTCTGGTATACTGGGCTGAGGCCGTTTAGCTTTAAGTATCAGCACCAACACTTTGAATTGTACTCGGAAACGTACTGGGAGCCAATGTAGGTCTTTCAGGACCGGTGTTATGTGGTCTCAGCGGCCACTCCCAGTCACCAGTCTAGCTGCCGCATTCTGGATTAATTGTAGTTTACAGGTTAAAGGTACTGTACTTTTTCATGTGTAAGACGAGGGTTTTTTTTGCTAAAGCAATGTCCAGAATTGGGGCTGGTCTTATACACAGTTAGCGCATTGTTGGGACGGGCGATTGGTTGCTGCTGCGAGCATGATCTCGTCAGCTGCGATTGGTGGTTGTGGCAAAGGCTGCTGCTGCAGTAATTGTGTGTGTGATTGGGACGTCTGCTGTTGGTGAGCGGGATAGGTTGTCTCGGCGACACGTGCGCTAGCCACCATTGGTCTGGCAGGTGAGTGAATTTTGGCCCCTGAGAAGCTCATCAACTCTGGGCAATCCTCCATTTTCTTAATTTTGAGTCCCCAAAAATAGGCGGCGTGTTATACACGGAAAAAGATGGTATATGCAACTACGTGGTCCGCAGTCTTATTTTTGGGGTGGGATGTGGGGAGAGATGCCAACAACCCTCTCCTATTAGTTCTCAAGAGACTGCAGCCAGAATGTAACAGCCATCACCACCGCAAGTTACTGGCTCCTTTTATTCATGCACACAGACGTGGACTAAGTGGGGATATCAATGTCTCCAGCAGACAAATGGAAAGAGTATTCCAACAAGCCTGGTAGCCACAGAGAAAGCGCTGCAGGAGTGCATACTCACCAATCAGTCTGAGCACTGTTGCTACAATTATATCAGAAGGGGAAGATATGTTGCCATTGCCCTTTCTGTTCTTTATCCACTTATCCATGATAGGCCAGAGTTCTTTGCTGTGGAACGAAGCGGACAATGAGTACATATGTGCTGACTGCCTCCCTTTTTGCCTTTTGAAACCAGCTTGACCTGCCAGACCTACACCACACTCCTTTGGAATGAAAAACCTCCAAATGCTTTCGATTTGAGAAAACATATTACCGTATTTTTCGCCCCATAGGGCGCACCTAGTTTTTTGGGGGGGAAATAAAGAAAAAAAAAATTATTTCTCCCCCAGGTGCGGGGCTGGGGCGGGGGAAGCCCGAGCTTCCCCCGACCCCAGCCCCCAGAACAGGCTGCTATCCGCAAGCCGTGGGAGAGCTGCGAGAAGCCCGAAGCCTGGGGCGTGCTGAGCTTAGCGCGCCCCAGGCTTCGGGGTGCAGGCAGCTCTCCGCAAGCCGTGGGAGAGCTGCGCGAAGTCGCGCAGGTCTCCCACAGCTTGCGGATAGCTTCCTGAAGCCTGGAGAGCAAGAGGGGTCGGTGCGCACCGACCCCTCTCCAGGCGACAGCGAAAGCCTGCATTCGCCCCATAGGACGCACACACATTTCCCCTTCATTTTTGGAGGGGAAAAAGTGCGTCCTATAGGGCGAAAAATACGGTAAGTTGCAGTAACAGCAGAACAACAAGGTTGGCTTAGCAACAGCCGCTCCCTGCAAGCGTATTAGAGGAAACAGCCTATGGTGAATGGATGAGCCAGGCTGCACACCTTTATTTTAATTATTAAGTACAATAAACAACAAAGACTCGTAATACCTTATGATATGATCGTGGGTCCAGCGCCACTTTTGATGTGAGCACAACAGATCAACAGCAAACACATATTCCCATGTGCTCTCTTTCAGGTCTTCTCCAAATTGCTCACTGATCTGAAATTCCATCTGTGGACACAACTGTATCGCCAAAAGCAGGCTAGAGACCATCATGCCAACATCTGCTGGTGCATTCTGGAAAAATGAATGAATGCTGATTTTGTTCTCAAACATTCTACCCACAAGACCTTATAGAGATGGCTAAAGATTAGTGAGACCACTGGTCCCAAAATGGTGGTGCAGATGAACAACCAGTCCCAAAATGGAGCAGAACTGGGTATAATCAGCTGGCTATCACTGACATTACATTCCAACTGCTATCAAATCCATCTTTGCCTTTGGAAACTGCTAAATTCTTTGCCGCTGCATTTTCCTTGTGCCAAGGAGTTCCACGGCTCTGATTTCCTCTCATCCGCAGGCTCTAACTGGAGAACATGTTGTCTTTTATATTTCCCCCTTCCTACTACCCCACATGCCCATAAAAGGATTTTTTACCCACCTCACAGTGAAAATGGCAATATTATAAGTAGTGTTTTTTTCCAGTGGTTTTATTTGGCTCATATTTGATTCAGCAGCATGTGAAACTGCCCCCCCCCAATCAAACCCACTTTCTTCAAAGTGATGCCCAGCTCTTTAGAAAGCAGCATTTGATTAAAAGATAACACAATAAATATGCACACTGGCCTTTTCTTATGCCTCTGTGAAAAGTGAGATTCTGCTCTTGTATAATCAACAACCAACTCTCTTCTGGCCAAATGCAAAAAAGGGATCCTGTCAAATGCTCATACCTCTTCCCAATTCAGGTAAGTTCTCAGACATTTCAGCACCTCCCCTCTTGCACGCTGCCTGGCAACCAACTGGATAGCTTTGCTGATCACACCTTCCGAGGAAAAGATCTCATCCCACATGTTTGCAATAAACAAAGTTAGTATGGCCGATTTGGGAAAATCTGGCAGGGATAAATTAAAATAAGAAAGGAAAACCCTTTAGGCTAGACAATAATCAATATGTATATATATATATTACAAGTTGGACTTGAAGCAAAATGTTGCAGGGGGTTCACTAATAGAAGTGCTCCTAGTTACTTGCAAGCAGACATTCCCTACTCTTGGAATACTATATAAGCAGGGAGGGGCTAAATCTTTCCCCCTTTCCATGCCCCTTTTCCAAACTGGAAAATACTCTCTCTCAGTACTCTCTCTTGGAGACCACTGAGCATGCTCAGTATATTAATCACGCCTCCATACCAGCTAAATGTGTCTCCTGCACATACTCACAAAATTATCTATTTAGATCTAAGGATCTTAGGCTCTCCTCAAGCAGCCATACCCTAAAGGTAGCACCAAGGATTTAGGCTGCAATCCTAACCCCTGGGTGGCAGTGGTGGGACTTGTTTCTTATTCTATTTATAAAAACAGTTGTTAGATACTGCTGTATGATAAATATATGCAGTATACATATATCACAGCAGTTTACGATATAAAAACATAAAACCAAACTACAGCATCATAGGACGTTAAAAACAAGCGAAAAGCAAAAAGAAATTAAAAGCAAACATCCAAAAACTTTATTGCCTGCATAGGCGGCTGGTGGTGCTAGGGTAGAATAGGCAGCCAGGAAGCGGGGAGGGGCAACGCTCCCACGTTGGCATAGTGAAGAGACCCCGATAGAGCCCACTGAGATCACCATGGCTGTGCTGACTTAGGATCCAGTGGGTCCAGTGGTTGGGCCTCTACCTTCAGGACAGTTTACAAACTTTTATTTTTTAAAAAACAAAAACACAAATACATAAAACCACAAATAATTTTCTCTCCACTGCATTTGGGTAGCCTGATGCCTTTATGCTTATATCCCGATTCAGGTTTTTAATATGCTTGTGTGTTTTTGTTCTGGCTAGTGAATCACTTCGGGACTTTTTGTAGCGGGAAGCAATGTATATATATATATATATTTAACAAATCCAACCTAACCTCAATGCAGTAGAGGAGGAGATCAAGCCCTTCCATTAGGGAGGAAGCCCCAGGTGTGAATAAGGTCCTCTGCATTAGTTCTTTATCCTGCAGACACCCAGTCCACGCAATTATTCCCCATTTTGTTTATTAATGGAGGGCAGGAAATCACACAGACCAGGCCCGCTGCCCAGTTCGCCAGTTGCGTGGAGGGTGCGGTTTGCAGTGGAGGCTGCGTCACAGAGGGGAGGGGATTGCACCACTTCTTCTCCATAATACTGCAGCGTTACTCTGACGGAAATGTATGAACCAGGCCTGTGGATTGTTTAATCAGCCAACAACCCTGGTAAACAGACCTTTGCCAAAACAGTGAGTATACATTGATTTATTTCGTTAACGAATCGCTTCCCATGAAACATCTAAAAGCGATTAACATAACTGAGAAGGATTCAGCTGGAACATAATGCGTAAGATGCTTTCCGCCGTAAAAAAAAGACAAAGACAGATCATACCTTCCTTAAGAAGACTGTAGCAAAACAGACGTGCTTTTTCAAGGTCTCCCAGCTGCCGGCATATTCCAACATACACCCTGCAGAGGGCCTGAATGTGATTGTGGCCCAAGGTCATCTTCTGTTTCTTCAGTTTCTTCAGAATAGTCTGCAACGCTGTCTCGGCTAAGTGCTGTAACATGCAAAATGGTATTTTCCATTGAGGATATTTCAACATGCATAATATACCTTATTATCAGAAAATAATAAACTTCTGTCCTTGAACAGAAATGCTGATGATCTTCAGAGCTAATTCTTTATCAGATACAGGCGATAAAATAGAGAAGAACAGATCTGTCCAAGCGAGCACAAGGACAAACATGTTTTAAAACCACTGGAAAAGTGCACTCGTGGCAGTTTGCAGCTGAAACTGGTAAGCTACAAAGGTTAAAAACACAGAAAACCAGCAACTAAACGCCACAAAATAGTAGGAGCGAAGGACTAAATGCATGGCAGGTACAAGAAGTAACAGCAGAGTGAATGTTCTTTTAATGAGCCATCTGAAACGTTATATGAAAGAAGACCAATTGGCCATTCCACATGCAGGCCAATGTAGGTCAAGTTCTGATACAACCTCTGCCAGTGATGTGTGTAAAGGAATCTATGGGGAGGTGTCATAAGCAGAGCACAAGCAATGCATGCAGAAGGTCCAATCCCTATCACCTCCAGTGAAAAAGGATCTCTGCCAGATTCTGAGATAACTTCACATTTGTGCACAATTGTCACCTTAAAAAGTTTGAAAGACCTGGAATCCATGCAGGGCATTTTTGAAGGCCTTAATTAATACCAATATAAGGTTGAAGATATTCTAGGGCCTAAGTTCGGAGCCAGCACAGCTGAACAGTGGCTGGGTGGGTATGTTCCTGGCTTCTTATCCCATCCAGACACCAGGACACAAATGAGAAACACTCTCAGAAATAAAAGATCCTGAAAACAGGTTGACAGCACAATTTTGCAGTGGACCTTGTGCTGAATCTTTCCCCTCAAATCTTCCCATGGTCTTTTTTTTTTGGGGGGGGGGGTTAAAGCACTCTTGGATGGAAAGACCTCAAGTTCCCGCATCCTGAAAGATGCAGTAACAGGGAATCTTACCACCTGGGGTGAGATTAATTTCAGGTCTGACCCTAAGCAACTGGGGAAAGCATGTTGGCATCTACAGCTGTTTAGAGAAACACCAAATGAGTACTGCTAGAAAATGCGTTGCCAAACTTTGTTGTCGGTTAACTCTTCTTTGGCTTTGCATTTATGTACTGAAGCCTGGATTGGGTTTTTCTTTTCTTTTCTTGACCTTTTTTTGGGGTTAATAGCAAATTTATTCTATGTTTATTAAATTGTTGACTTTTGAATTTACTGACATGCTCTGTATTCCGCACATTTGTATTTTGATGTTTTGAATGTTTGCTGCAAGCTGCTTTGGCTGCAGCTGATTGTGGAAAAGCAGCATATATGTAAACTCAAACAAACAAACAAACAAACAAACAAACAGGAACTTGGGAAGGTGATCACTCCAGAGGCATGCTGCCACTTAAAAACTGGCCATCACGAACTGGCTCTTAGTCAGTGAAGTGGAACCCAAAGAGCTCAACAACTCCACTAAATGAATAAACTATCAGACAAGTTGAAGTGTTTCAGAAATGTCTCCATACAATTTTAGAGCCCAAGCGTTCATCTAAGGCAGGGATAGATTCACCTGAACCAGGTTTACACAACAGCCCTCCTCTTTGTGCAGTTCAAGGCACCCATGTTCCTGGGAGTTTGGAGCAGGGAGGGTCACAAGATTTACAGATCTGATGACCGAGTTAAGATGGTTTCCCTACTCCCTCCACAAGTTCCGCCTTATTACAGACATCCAGATAGAACTTGGATGTGGAACTGTTCAATGCATTTAGATCACAGTGCAATCTGCTTTCAGAGGCCTTTGTAAACCAAGACCTGTGAAACACAAAACTAAAGGACAGGACTCTCACTTGGGGGGGGGGGTCTGTGGGTCAAGTGGAGTGGGGCGAAAATACAGGGGTCTTAAACACACAGCACATTCTTTATTACCAGCCAAAGCCCATATTGCCCCTCGCAAGGACCCTCTCTGGTGCACATCTGATTTCGGGGGATGACTGCACCCCCATCACCCCAGCAGAAGATGTTGCTTTATTTTTATGGTGTTTAAGGGGGGGGGGGTAACAGCATTAGCTCTGAATGCTAATGTCGAGATTAGCACTTCTGCCTGCAGATTCTCATATACAACAGGCTCAATAGAGACAACTGTGAGCAAAGTCCTTGTGCACTTGCTCACCTGTGGAAGAGACGAGCCGGGATGGGTGGCGGTGGCAGCAGCTAAGTTTGCAAGAAATGAGAGAGTTCAAAAAGTTTGAGAAACACTGGGGTAAACACAACATCAAAATCCCCATGGATATTAGCTGTAAGGGACTGAGAAACCACCTTTTGGTCAAAAGTGTACGTCTCTGTGTGTGTTAAGCCATGAGTCAACATCCCCAATCAGCCACAGCAAACATAATTATATGTCCACATATGAACTGCAAGAGGCGACATGATAGCTTGGCAGAGAGGTGGGTTCAAATGGTCTCCTCTATGGCTTCTACCGTCTTAACTACTATTCCAGAAGGTTCCATGCTCATTGTTTGGTTGTATGAGCTAAACCAGTTTACTGGTATTTTTTAAACAACAACAACAACAAGAAGAAGTGTAACTGACCTTCTTAGCAACGCCAAGTTCATAAACGGCTTCTTTCTCTTCATCTCTCATGGCTGGGAGCTTCGAGGTATTGCCCACCAAAACATGGCTACGGATAACAGGTAACAGGTCAAAACAGGCTTTGGAAACTTTCTCCAATGCTACCATCACAATGTTGCTATCGGAGTCATCGCTTTTCTTCGCAGCCACAAGCAACTGTGAATCGGCTTCACCGGTTAAGTGAGTAGCACCCTCACTACTCAGATTGATGGTTTCCTCAGCAGGGCACCGTACGCCAGCATCTGGGACTCTAGCTGAAGGTTCCTCCTTGCAGACTTTTGATTTTGGCGACTTGCTATCTAGCCTTAGCCTTTTGGCATTCTTTGGCACAGTCACAGGTACTAATGCCCTTTTGCCAGCGTAACACACATTGGAAGACAGTTGCTCTGGGTCAGGCTTGAAACTGCTCCCCGTTTTAACAAAAGCAGTGGACACAGAAGCAATTGCTTTAAAGCCACTGATCTGATGGACCGGCTGTGGGGCGTTTTTGCCATCTAGAGAAGACGACCTACTCAGCTGAATGTTACCTTTCAGGATGCTGAGAGTTCTGGCTCGGGCGGATAGCTCTGGATACATGCTGTCCAAGATCTTCACCGAGTTTTCCTGGGGTACGGGTGGAGCAGTGCCGCCAACTGCCGATGGAGGATGTCTGCCAGGCACGGGGAGGGCGTGCTTGGGAGTGGTGGCGCAAAACTGAAGAGGCGAAGACAGAGCCCTCTGACGCATCGGCGTGCCAGAAGGAGAAGGGGTGGTAAATGTAGCGGGAGACTTGCATTTGGGGATATCCAACAGCGGCGACCTTAGAGGAGGAACTGGAGTTTCCCGTAAAGGAGAATTCATTCCATCAAGTGGGGAAGGCAAAGAAGACTGGCTAGACGATGACATCAGTGGGGAGAGGGGCCTAACCGTCCTTGGAGGAGTAGGTATCAGAGGTGGGAGCAAGGGAGGTAATGGAGGGCCCATCTCTTCCCTAATTTTTGTCAGGGTTTTTGGAGGAGAATACACTGTAGGCGTGGAAGTATCTGCGTTGGCAAAAATGGTCTCAGTGAGCAGTGCTTGTCGGCTTTTCCTCTTCCCCTTGCAGCTAGGTATTCTCTGGAGAGGCCTAAGACCTGCCTCTGCTGAAACATTTATAGAGTCTGATGTTTCAAGCGCTTGTCCTGCTCCGTTATTTCCGTCAGATGCAAGACCAGTGGGAGATTCCACTTTCTCAGACACTATTTTTTGTGGTTTAGAGCTAGAGCTGGAAGATTCGGAAGCAGGTGGTACGGAATGCCGGCTGGTTTGAGCAGCAATAGTTCCCCCCTCGTTTTTTATATGGGTTTTCTTGTTGTGGGAGGCACTGGCGTCCTCATCAAGACAGACGGGTGTTAACTGGTTCTGCATCAGGCTGGAGCTGCATCCCAAAGGGCTAAAGCTTCTTTCTTCCTCAGCACTTGCTTTCCCTTTAAAGAAATCTAACTGGGTTTCCAAGGTTTCTACACTAGTGTCCCTGTATTCTGTATCACTATTAAATTCTGGATCACTTGCAGGAGACTTCCTGGAGAGAGATTTTCTGTCATGGGTTAGCCCTTGTCTCATCAATGAAACGACTGCTGAAATGCTTTGTCCTGCTTGCCTCTCTTCAGACTTCTCTATTGCTGCAAGAGATTCCGATTTGAAGGAGGTATTTTCATCGCTACACGTCCTTCTTGTTGCGTATGAATGTTCCCATATCCCTTCCGTCACTTCAGCAACATGGGAGCCAGTGTCATGTACTGCAGCCGGCGTATATTTCGGGGATGCCTCTTCTGTTACATGGGACAGCTCCTGCTCACCACCCACATCTGCTCTGGGCGCTGCAAGCGTTGGTTGTGGTTTTGTGCAATTCACCTTCCTTAATGCGAAAACCTCTTCCTCTGGTGAATCAAAGGTAGATGATTTCATAAGCATGATAGTACTTTCAGACACGGTCAGTTCATTCACCCCTTCAGATCTTGCACCTCTGCTTGATATTGCATCAGTTTCTTTAGCTGTTGCTTCACTCAGATTAGGTTCTACCTCACAGTTTCTTGAAGGAATCCCTAACGTTTTATCAAGAGGAACAAGAAGCTTCTCATCACTTGGAACAGATTCGCTCACTACAAAAATGTCTACAGTATTAACACTGTTCAGGCTCGATGCCTCAGCAGTTTGTGCTTTAGTGAGCTCCCCCCAACACATTATCTGGGATTCCCTGAGAGTTGGCTGTTCTCTGGCTTGTTCGATTTCCATTTCATGGAAACTGCAACAATCTAGGGACTTATTTTTGTCTACCTCAGAATCAAGAACATTTGCCTCTTTACTTGTCAAGTCTTCTCCAGAATCATGATCCCTATGATCAGCATCTTCTTCTCTGCTTTGAGAGGAAGGGGTAATGTACCCTGGGACAGAGCTTTGGCCATTTCTGCTGAAGAGCTCATAACTGATTTCAATGTGGGACACAGTGACATTGGAGGGCTCTGCAGTGGACTTAGAACCAACTGTTGTAGTGACAGAGGAAGTTGTTTCAATAACTGCACTCTCTGCTTCTAATTCATCTTGAACAGACTGAGCAAGACCTTCATTTGTGTTCTGTTCTAATTCCACCCCACTTGTTACAGAGCACTTATAATTCGTTTCTGTCCCTTCTGCAGCATGCTTCATTTTATCAGATGAATTGCTTTCAGCATTCCAGATTGCCTTTTCTTGAGGTGGTGCATCATTTTTTCCATACTGCAAATCTTTAAAAATCAAACTGGGCTCCATATTTCTGTCACACAGAGTTCCAAGAGCAGATGTTTTTTCACTTCCTTCTTCTATAATAAACTGTGCAGTCCCAGTTTCTGTTATTTTCAGCCGTTCACTATCTTCCTTCTCAAGCCGTTCTGATGTCAGGCATATATCTTCCTCAACAGCCTCAGTGTGCTGAAAGTTAATTGAAATGCTATGTGTTTTGGACTTACACTCAGGTTTAATGCCTGCATTTTCATCACACCCTAGTTCTGAAGCACTTTGAGTGACATTCTCTGATTCAAAGAGTGTGTGTTTACTTTCAAGAGACCCCTCAGGACACCCTTCAATAATAAATGCTTGTGCTGCTAACATAGGACTGCTTTGATAACCTGGCTCCTCTTGTAGCGATTTAACAGAAACTTTTTGGTCAATGTATTGTTCTAGTTCTACACATTCTTTTTTTACATCCATTGATTTGGGTTTCATTTTGCCTACGTTTTCATTTTCAACTTTCCGCTGGTCATCTTCTCCATGTTTAGTAGGCACAGAAGGGAGAGTGCTGCTTTCACCTATATGATACAATGAATTATTGCATCCATCACTTGCCACTGTAATATGAGAGTGGGACCTCAAGGTATCAGCATTCCCTAGTTTATTCTCCCCATTTAATTCATATTGCTTGCCACATTCCTCTTCGCTACTGTGATTTTCTTCTACGCATTGTGATTTGATGGCTGCATCGGAGACATGAGAATCTTTTTCAAAGTCCTGTGTAAATGTTATCTCAGCATTTCGTTGCTGGAGCAGTGCCCTAGAACACTCCATTTCAGAGAGGAAATTATGGTTAACGAAATTCATTTTCTCTTCCGTTAATGCTTCATCGCTGCTGCTTGAGCAGATCCCTTCAGTTGCATTTCGTTTGAATGCTGTTACAGGTTCAGTGTGTTCTTCACCAATGCATTTTGCTTTCTCAAAATTAAATTTAGATTGGCTGTCACTGGGGCCATTCCCCATTCCTCCTCGCACATCACCAGAAACATCCTTAGAAATTTCAGGAGTTACAAGCACATTTTCAGTAGCTAAAATGGACCCTTTGGTTTGCTGCTGATTGCCACCTTTGGGTGTTTGAAGCCAATCACCTCCCACTGTCTCAATGAGCTCTTCCTTCTCTCCTTTCAAGAAGTTACTAGGCTCTTTGTGCACATGGTCAATGCTGCTTCCAACGTCTTCTTTCATGGGCATTGACTCAGCTGGTTTTTCTTGACCTTGTGAGTTAGCCGATGGAGACAATAAAGCAGGCATCATGAGTTTGTCTTTCGCTTTCGTCATATTATCTAAGTTTTTGTTGACGTTTTCTGTACCGTGTGCTGCTGGTTCAGTGGCTGTGCGTGCCTCCAAAAAGTCAGAATTCTCCTGCAGATGCTTCTCACTCTTTGATATGGCACCTCCCTCAATAGGATATACTGATGTTTCTGTCACAGGGTCGTGACACAGTGCTGACTCTTCTTCCGTCAAATTGCTAAGTCTTTCAGGTGACTCCTGAGAATTGCCATTTGTATTGTTTGCGCTAAAAGATATGCATTTGCTCCGAGATTCTGCTGAATGGTTCTCGTAAGGAATTTCAGCTTTTGGTTCATTTTCCCCCAAAATATTTTCAAGCATTTGCACATCCTGGTTCATGTCATCTTCATCACTGGAATCTGTTAAGTTTCCAAATAACGTATCCTTAAAGAGATAAATGAGAAGAATTAATATAGTACTCATAACAGTTCAAATGTTTTATGAACAGCCATTCAAGTTACAATGTTCATTACTTTTTTCCCTTTCAAAAAACTGATACTGCTAAAGACACATCAAAACAGATATGCACTAAAAACATGACTGAGGTGTAGTTCTCAGTAAACTGGTAAACCTACTTCTGCTCTGTTCCACTTCACATCAGAGCTGCAGGTTTACATGATGGCATTTTCTTCAAAACCATGAAAACCAAACCATAAAGGTAAAGGTAAAGGGCCCCCTGACCATTAGGTCCAGTTGTGACCGACTCTGGGGTTGCGGCGCTGATCTCGCTTTACTGGCCGAGGGAGCCGGCGTACAGCTTCCGGGTCATGTGGCCAGCATGACTAAGCCACTTCTGGAGAACCAGAGCAGCGCACGTTTACCTTTCCGCCGGAGCGGTACCTATTGATCTACTTGCACTTTGATGTGCTTTCAAACTGCTAGGTTGGCAGGAGCAGGGACGGGGGCAACGGGAGCTCACCCCGTCGCGGGGATTCGAACCACCAACCTTATGATCGGCAAGTCCTAGGCTCTGTGGTTTAACACACAGCGCCACCCGCTTTCCTTATAAACCAAACCACAGAGAGCTAGAAAACAGGAAGTAGTTCTTTTTGAGAAACACTTTTCTATTGAGGTTTCTTGCACAGAGGTTTTACCACTTCAATAAGAACTAAGACTAAGATAAACTAAAGAGTATCTATCAGAAACAAAGAGAGAGAGAGTTCCTTTTTACAGGGCTTAGCTCACTTGCAAAGGTTCATCTTAATCCATAAAAACATGAGTCATTTCACTATTTAAAAAGCAATGCTCAAAGTGACGCACAGTCAATAAAACTAAAACACAGGACCACCACAAAAATAGCAGCAGCCAGAAGCTGAAAATCCAGGTGTTCAATATACAGTGGTACCTTGGTTTACAAACTTAATCTGTTCCGGAAGTCCGTTCTTACACCAAAGCATTCTTAAACCAAGGTGTGCTTTCTCATAGCAGCGGAGGACTCAGTTTACAAATGGAACACACTCAACAGGAAGTGGAACGTGTTCTGCTTCCAAGGCAAAGTTCACAAACCAGAACGCCTGCTTCCGGGTTTGCAGCGTTCTGTTTCCAAGTTGTTCATAAACTAAGCTGTTCTTAAACCAAGGTACCACTGTATTCTAAAACCAAACTGTTTTAACCTAGCAATGGAATTAGCAAGGATGACATCCTAACCGAGAAAGCTATCATTTTACACTTTAACAGTTCTTACTTAAGGAAGTCGGGGAAGGAGAAAAAACAACAGCCCTATGACAGAGCCGCTGCTCTTATGAATCACAACAGGAGCTGCCACCACATTTATTGTCTTAATTTATATCCCACTGTTTGACAATATGTTTAGGGAATTTAATATTTAATGCTGTATTGTTTTAAACACTCGATTGGGAGCCGCCCAGAGTGGCTGGGGAAACTCAGCCAGATGGACGGGGTATAAATAAATTATTATTATTATTATTATTATTATTATTATTATTATTATTATGTTCCATTAAACTGGATACAATGGTAACGATTCTTTTAGGTCCGGGCCTACTATACTCTGAAGGCAGGTAATTGTGGGGGTTTTTTGGATAGTTGAAAGTGGTATAACAGAGAAATCACTGCCCAGGTATATTACACATTTACTGATTTTATCCTGCTATCGGGAGGGTGGGGGTAGTATTTTTTTGCTTTTTGGAGCACTATGAATACCTGCAAAGCCTGTTCAACTGAGAATGAGAATGAGCCAAGTGTACTACCCATGGATAGCACTGCCTCTTTCTGGCCCCCCTGGCTCCATCCACAAGTAGACTTGCTGTACTGTATTAAGTCAACATTAAATCAAGATTATGACATTACTAGGGCACACGATTTTAACCCATATTTTGACTTACTGGAGTAGCAGCAGGTGAAAACTGTATGGGAGACAGCAGAGGAGGAAGAGGCCTAACCCACTTCAAAATATCTCGCAGATTTTCACCAAGTTCGTCCTGTTCCGTGCTAAAAACATCCACGTTGCCCTCTCCCAAATCTGTCTCTGAAATGACTTCTAGAGATCTGCCTTCGTAAAAAGCGCCGCCACCATTGTAAGCGCCCGTGGTTTCCATGGCCTTGCTCTCTACTGGGCTACCATGCCCAGCGAGTCTGTCGCCCAGCTTTGTCTGCAACGGTGCCAAAGAAACGTGTGTCGTACAGGTTTCAGGTGAAGGACAACCAGAAGGCCTCTCTTCTCGAGGTTTCCGGAACTGTTGAGGATTCCGCGGCGTTTCTATGGGGCACAAGATCATCTACAGTGTAAACAAGGTTTTCACATTTCCTCCACTTTCTGAAGGTTTAAGGAAAGGGTGGGGAACCTGCAGTTCAAGGACTACCTCCTGCCTGAGGATTTTTTCCCCCAATTTTATTTTATTTTTTGCGGGGAGGAAGACCTTCACATTTTTTTTGAAAAAAAAGTTTTAAAACCCATTTTAAAACAAATGGTTTATTATCCATCTTACTGAGTGTCCTACAGGTACATCACTGTGGTGTTGAAAGTTTTTTTTGCAACTCCACAGGCCCTCCAGAAAGTATCCCCTTAATTATTATTTTTTAATTTAAAAGATCCTGGTGTTAATTCTACTGACCACTCTCGGGGGGCCCCTGCTGTGTTTCTGGGGTGCCGTACAGTTTTTGTAACCTTCCCATACCCTCACAAAATTTTCCCTTAAAAAGTGTAAGGCATTCCTAGTGCAGTCTTGGAAGAAGGCATAGGAGGAAGGAGGACACGCCAAGGAAGATTTCCAGCAGCCTAGAGACAACTGCAAATGCCCTGCAAGTATATATGCATATATTTTGTTCTTGCATTTAAATTATGCAAATATTAAAAGCATAACACAAAGTCATTCTAAAGGTTAATTATTGGCATCCGTCTGTCGTGAGATTCAACGGCAGAGTGCCGTTCTAAAAGTACTCACTTTTTTTTCCACGTGCTCTTGAATGACCATGAAAATCTGTTGCTGCAGGTGAGAAAAGAGGCAATTTTTCTTTACTCTTCTTGAAAATTGCAACATACTTTTTCTCTAAGGAAAGCGACTACTTCCAATTATCTCTAGAGCTACAGTACTTGGGTCTCACCTAAGATGTAGTCATTTTTGCTGATTTGACTTTTTCCTGTCGAGCTGTCAATACACATCCAGAGCTCCTGCAACAGCAGTTTAATTTTCTCTGTAAAATAACCAAAGAGGCATCCAAACTGTTATGGTACTTGCAGAGAAACATGGATTAATAGAATATATATCTATATCTGTATCTGCACACATATTTCTTCACTAATACAGGGAATAAGAAGCAAATCCCAAACTGCTGAGGTTATGTCTGTTCCAGTGATGGCAAACCTCTAGCCTACTAGGCCTCCTCTATTGACTTGCCAAGGCTTCTCAGTAAAGTTGAAGGAAGCTTGCTATGTCAGGATCTGTTACCTAAAGACACCTGGAGGTGACAACTCCCAACAGAGCAGCTCTCTCTTTGCTGCTGGTTAGCTATTTCCTTGGAGAGTTGAGCAGAGGATGGAGGCCCACCACTCTGGTCCAATGTTCAGGAAACATATGAGCAGTGATATGAGTGCAGCACTTTCTTGCAAACTGCCCTTGGAAAATGATTGAAGGGCTATACAAAAATACAGTGGTACCTCAGGTTACATACACTTCAGGTTACATATGCTTCAGGTTACAGACTCCGCTAACCCAGAAATAGTACCTCAGGGTTAAGAACTTTGCTTCAGGATGAGAACAGAAATTGTGCTCTGGCGGTGCGGCGGCAGTGGGAGGCCCCATTAGCTAAAGTGTTGCTTCAGGTTAAGAACAGTTTCAGGTTAAGAACGGACCTCTGGAACGAATTAAGTACTTAACCCGAGGTAGCACAAATGAGTCAGCCCAATTTCTCGACAAATCGATGGATATTCAGCAGAAGTTCTGACTTGACACAATTTGTTACAATACAAGCTAACCAACATGTTCTTTTCCCCTTCTTGGCAACTCCCTTGAGCCTCTGCCTCCTCAGAGGATTCAGCCTGTTGACATGATAAGCAATAGCAAGAAATCCACCTGAATCTATTTAAATTGCATCATTTCCTTCTTGCCTCTGCTTGCCTCTTTGCTAAGTAAGCGGCAATTTTTTTAAAAAATGGAATGAAATTAAGGAGCTCTGGTTGTATCCCTTTGTTGGTATTCTCAGCACTTTGTGGCATGATCACCATTTTATTTGCATATCACCTTTCCTTGAAAAGATTCATGCTCAAAGCGGCTTGCAAAAAAAAAGGAATGCATCTCAAAATCAGCCCCTGCAAGAACAATTCCATAGCAATTCCACAGCAACATAATAGCAAATATAACATCAAACAAAAAAACCACACACCAATATTTCAGCATTATAAATATAAGAAGATTACATCTCCTGAACATTGCAAAAATAAGAAGGGAGACTGATAGCTTTGCCCATGATGTGGCCGTGGCTTCCTGGTTGGTACTTGCACATAAAAGGAGAGGGATAGATTCAGTTCTTGTCACCTGGAGCAGGAAAGAAAGCACTTCCAGACGACCAGGTAGAGAAGCTTCTTTGAAAGCAAATGTGTCCTTCTCTCCACCCCTTAACAAGTCATGAATGCACCCAACTGAACCTGGGTGGGCAGACTAGTCAAATTTTTGCCTGTTGATCTGAAAATGGCAACTGCACTTCAGACATGGCCTTCTAGACAAAAAAAAGTTCTCGTGTCCTATACAGCTTGCAGTGGGAAGGGAAGGGTTGAAGAGATAGCCCAAACTCCCACTCAGCAGATGCCCAGCATATACAAAAACACAAATGTTTTCGGCCCCAAATCACTAGCTTTTCCAGGAAGACCAGGGTTAAATTCTAAAACACCTCTCTACAATCCACCCCAAAAGCATCACAACTTTTGTTCTAAAATTCCCCCATGAGCGCAACAGGACCCAACAGCTTGTTCCCCACCCACGCAGATCAATTCCTTACAGCTCTGTTGTCTGCCATCTAATCCCCTAGGCTTCCACTCACTCTACAAAACTGGGGAAATTGCAAATGTTGCCTTCTGCTCGGCCGTCCAATGGTCTCCATGCTCATTGAAACGTGCTGCTAATTTCAAGGGAGCAGTGGTGACAGGCCACGGCTGAGACACCCAGCATTAGTGAGCAACGAATCAGTCTCTCAGTGGTTCAATAATTTGTAGGGGGTTAGATGCTGGAAAGCAAGGTCTTGGGTATCATGTCTGACGACCTCGTCTTAGGCAATGATAAATAATTTGTCTCCATCCAACTGCAGTTCTAAGAAGCAAAGAATACTTACAGCAGAGTAACAAGTTCAAGCTGACATAAAACCTATCGTAGGGGTAGGCAACCTAAGACCCGGGGGCCGGATGCGGCCCAATCGCCTTCTCAATCCGGCCCGTGGATGGTCCAGGAATCAGCGTGTTTTTACATGAGTAGAATGTGTGCTTTTAATTAAAATGCATCTCTGGGTTATTTGTGGGGCATAGGAATTTGTTCATTCCCCCCCCCCCCCACAAAATATAGTCTGGCCCACCACATGGTCTGAGGGATGGTGGACTGGCCCACGGCTGAAAAAGGTTGCTGACCCCTGACCTATCGTCATGCAGCTTGTTACATGTGGATGACCACAAAGCAGAACCTTTGGGCTTGCTGGCTGAGGCGGCCATGCTCTCAAGCCCTTTTCTCAGGCAGATCTTGGTGCCTTGCACATGTCCCATGCAGTGGGCAATCTCTCCTATTCAGCTCCTTTAGGGTACCTGCAAGAATCCAAGTAGGGCTGAAGGGTGAGGCCTTGTAGTATGAGGATGTGATGACTGTACAGATGACAACTCAAAGAACAGTAGCTATGAGCCACTGCAATCTTCTTATATTAGAGAGAAAATATTTATACATACCAACCTTTGTCTAGGTCTGCTACAGGACTCGCTCTCTCACTTTGGGTCTCAGCATTCTTCAGCACTGAGGGGAAATAAAACAGACACAGATATCAGATCAACAATTAAAACTGGAACCCTGCCACTGAAACTCTATTAAGGTAAAATAAAGTGAAGCATCACCTTTCTTTTGCTTTGCATTCGGGAAGCCATCAGTCTTCTCCTGTCAACATCAAAGGAAGAAAACCATACCACATTAACATCCTTAACTTGTAGTATTGTCAGTGGAAAGAGATTCGACTCTGGTTACTGTTTAAACTACCTCATGACCTCTCAAATGTATTATACAGTGGCACCTCGGGTTACAAACACCTCGGGTTACAAACGCTTCGGGTTACAAACTCCGTGAACCCGGAAGTAGTACCTCGGGTTAAGAACTTTGCCCCAAGATGAGAAAGGAAATTGCGTGCCGGCGGCGCGAGGGGAGGCCCCATCAGCGAAAGCGCGCCTCAGGTTAAGAACGGTTTGGGGTTAAGAACGGACCCCGGGAACGAATTAAGTTCGTAACCTGAGATACCACTGTATAGGGATTGGAAGACTCCAGATTTTGCTAGACTACAACTCCCATCGTCCCTTACAGCTGGTCATGCTGGCTAGGGCTGATAGGGGTTGGAGTCCACCATCACCTGGAGGGTCACAGGCTCCCTGGTTTCATAGGCTTGGTGGAAAATCGGAACTGTCCCTTGTTACTCTTGCCATCTCCTATCCCTCCCCTTCTGTGCTTATTGTTACCTCTTCATTCCCTCTGTCCAAATTTAGACTGTAAGGTCCAAGGTGGAGGGAGGAGGAAAGAGCTGTCTTTTATTTTAAACCCCCCCCCCCCAATTATCATGGCACATGGGTACCGTGTAACAATAACTTTTTTACTTTGGACCTTAAAGCAGCAACAATTCTGCCCAGCAGCCTAAACAATTTCTGTGATCAGTTCTCCCCACATTGTCTAGTCTTCCACCAGTTTACCCATTGCAATGATGGGAAAGAAGTCATCAACAGATAAGAACAGTGGGGAAAGTAGGCATGCCAAGTCCACATTTATGACACACACTCTGCATCTTGGGGGGGGGGGAATCATTAGGAGGAGATACTTACTCTGTAACTTATAACAAAGCATGCAAAGAAACACTAATTTGTGCTTACTGCAAAAATGCAAAAAAAAACAACCTCCCCAAACCCCTGCTTAAGAAAGTTACCTGTGCTTTCTTCAATTCCTTCTCAAGAACTTTCTTCTCTGCTTTCAGCTGCTTGAATTCCTGGATGTGCTTTGCTGCAGCCTCTTCATTTAAAGGAAAAAAGCAATCAAAATGCATGAAAACCATTAAGCTCGACTTAATGGCACAAAAGTCAGCAAACAAGGGCGAAATGCACTTGCATGGTGATGCCTTCCCTTTCAGATTTGTCAAACTCTAACAGTTTATCTAGGGGTTGCAGCATTCAGCTCTGCAGTATCATGTATTTCATTAGGATTTCATCACACTGGATGAATGCTGCTTGGCTCGGTCAGAGACATGTATTATCCTACCAACTGAACACAACAGCTCCACAGCTTTTTTTCCAAATGCGTAAATGCCCACATGCCTTAGAATTCTGCTTAATGAGCCCTAGGGAACTCGAAGTTTATTCATACCAAACACCATTGACAACAAAACCTTTCCGTGTAATAAATATATATTTGCACCCTTCCATTTCAACAGGTCAAATTCTTAAATTGTGCTTTGTCAAGGTTTGCTATAAGACCCTAAAATGCATACAGATATCCTTAAATGGCAATAATTAAGTCTGAGTTCTTTGCATAATGTTATACTCGGATAAAAATTTATGCAGCAATCCAACTAGGTTTTTTGGAAGTGGTTATTCAGCTACCAGGGGTTTGGCAGAGGTACTACACTGACATTTAATTTATAAACACTCAAGAGACAAATTTCTTAACAGTTATTTTACTTTCCTTTGGACATTAAACAGGTAGAGCAATACGTGACATGAAAATCAGGACAAAAACAAACAAGAAATAATTTTAAGGACCTTTCATTCTTAATTTCAGGATCTTGTCACAGCTACTAACAGCTGCCCAGAGCTAGGACAGGAGAGCACAATTGTCTTCCTGCTGTCATTTCTCATATATTTTCATGAGAAAATATAGTATAAACCTTTTATGATTTAAATAATGAAATTATTTTACAGCTTTCTAACAACAGACCACTCTAAATTCTAACAATTCATGACTTAAGGCAATCTTGGAATTTTTATACTTTGATTGACAGTTTCATTAAAACAGGGACTCAGCTACACAGCTGCAACTAAAATGTTTTAAGTGCAATATACAATGTGACACTAGATGGTGAGCCTAATGGAAAATTCAATGTATTTTTAAAAACGCTTTTAAAAAAGCATTTTCAGAATGGTTTTTATATGTGTGTACATTCCACCCAGATGTATAATTAACCTTTTACAAGCCAATTCATTCTCGCACTAGCTAGCTCAATTTTATCTCAGGAATTGTTCTTTCTTTTATTCCCATGAAACAGAAGCAAAGCATTTGACACTGCAATCCTGATATTAGTTGAAATGGGGCAAAAGGTAAAGGCAACAGTGAAGAAAGCAAAAGGTGAATCAAACTCAGGTTTTTAAGGTAAACTGACTGGGGCAAAATTGTTGGTGTACCTCTCAACCCTACTTAAATTACACATAAACTATGCAATACTCTCTTTCCTTACAACAATGTATTACTTTAAACCTAAAGGTTTTCTGAATCTGAAATGTGAATTTATTTGCAGTGAATTACCTTCAAGTTTCTTCACTTTAGTTTCCAGTTTCTTCTTCCTGACCATGTTTAAAAAAAACAACACAAGAAATGAGGATAGTATTCTATTGGTACAGATTTTTGGCTTTTTGTTCAATCTAATATACAGAACATAAAAGCTTCCTTGATAACACAGGTTTATTATGATTTGTGTAGCTCAGGCTTACACTTCCGGTTGAGTTTTGAATTAGAAACTGGACCCGCGCCCAATTCTTTGTGATGCTAGGACCCCACAATCGTCACTGCTACACTGTCTGTCCATAAAATATATCATACATCAAGGGAGAGGAGCAGGTAGAAAAGTCATGGCGAAGGAGAGACAGGATGCGGCCCAGCTGGGCAATGAGTTTTGGTTACAGGCCACTCTGAACATATCTACTCCATTCACTGCAGCAAAGAACGCACCAACTCCCAGAATGAGAAGTGGTCGGAAGTGCACTAATTCAGAGTGTGCCCCAGAGTTATTTGCACCACTGAATAGGGAAGTCAGGTGGGTCAGATGTAGCACATGCCTCCCCTTCCACACTGTTTTTGGCTAGGCTAGTACACCTCCCATCCAAAACCTACATCAAGGCACTGTGGGGCATATTCATGTTGTGCATTTCAAGCAAGGATCAAAATAAACCTAGCCTTTTTTGTCTGGAAGACTAGTAGAAGTTAAGTGAATGTCCCCTCAGCCAGCAACCATTTCCAAGTAATCAACAGGACTTAATTTGCCGTACCACACTTCATGGAATGTGGGTTCTGATAACCCGGGTCCCAAATAGCGAGAAGGGTAGGTAGGGAATGAATTCAGAACGGGTCGCTTGCCTTTCCTTTTGGACCGCTAGGCTCCCCCTCCCCGAAACACCACCTAATATGGTTTTGTGTTTCAGTACTGGCTATGTGGCCCTAACAACAAGAAGTACCGTATTTTTTGCTCCGTAAGACACACTTTTTCCCTCCTAAAAAGTAAGGGGGAATGTATGTGTGTCTTATGGAGCGAATGCAGGCGGGAGGCTCTGCTCAGCGCTCCCTTTGAAGAGCAGTGTGGAGTGTGTGTGTGGCTTTTGGGGGCTTTTCCCTGAGGAGGGAGAAGGGCAGCCCATCAGTCCCTCCTCGGGGAAAAGCCCCCAAGAGCCGCACACATGCTCCGCACGCTTTTTAAAGGGAGCACGGCTTTTGCGAGAGGTGGGGGAAGGGACAGAGGGCAGCCCTTTAAAGAATATTTTTTTTCTGGCATTCCCCCTCTAAAAACTAGGTGCATCTTATACTCAGGTATGTCTTATGGAGCGAAAAATACGGTAGCATATGATTAATTCCTACACTGAGAGAGTTCTTAATTCCCTCTCTTTCCCCGCAAACATTACTATAATCTGAACATAGAAGACCTTTTCATCTAACTGCAAAGGTGAAAAATAGTATAAATTCACTATTTGGTTCCTTTATATGACTCACATCGTGTCACTTTTGTTCATTTCATCTTTCACCCGAACATATTCCAGATGAGTTTCCTGGTATATCTTGAGTGAACTCTAGTTAAAGAAACAGATAGTGATTAAAATACAGACATGCAAATAAACAATTATTTTCTTATAGCTAATGCATTGATTCCTAATATCATGAAACAGCATTGCGAAAGTGAGAAGACATACACTAAATAAGGTTGCAGGAGAAGGGGTGTCCACAGCTGTGGAACCACCACTAAAAAGACTCTGGCCCTGATGCCTACTAGGGCTGGGCGATATTAGCTTGAAATAGTTGAAAAGGGGAGGCGCCGAGGGAAGAATGAGCTCCATTGGCCAGATACAGCTCTGTCCTCCGCACACCGGGTGCTGGTGACAGAGGGAGTCTCTCTGCTGCCAGCGCTGGCATGCCAAGGTAAGAACGAGCTCCATTGGCTCCACTGCTTCGTTCCTCCCTCTGTTTGAGGGCCAGAATATTTCAGAATAAAAAGATGTTCTCATGGGCCAAATGGGGAGGCCTGGAGGGGTTAATCAGTTAGTCCTGTGGGTCTGAAGCTCCCCTTCCCTGCATGAAGGGATTACAGAACAACCCTCCAGCTACCTTCTTAAGGTCACTCTTGTGCAAACCCTCACTCAGGGATAGGCAATCCAGATGTCTCAAAGCAGGCCTCACCACTTTCTTTCTAAATATTTTCTAATTACCTTCTTCTCCTCCAGCTCTGCTTTCACAGATCCCAGCTCCTCCTGACACTTTTCTAGAGGCAAGATTTTCTGCAGCATTTGCTCCACTTGGTGACGAAGTGTGTCATTTTCTCTGAAACGGGGCAATTAATATAACAGAAGTGGAAACGAAGCAAGAGACTTGCATGCAATATCTTACTGTCTCCGTGGACACAAAGTCACAGTAGCCCCATGCCCTCCCACCATGGCCCAAGCCACATAGCAAACACAAACCAAAATGTCCTTATAATATCCCATTGCACTCTCAAACATATTTGATTAAAAACTATTCTCAGCACCTCACTCTTTTGTCACAGGGAGCAGACAAAGTACAGTAGAACAAATTATTAACACCCAGAGATTCATCAAGCAGTGATAACTCCCAAGACCAAAGCCGTGGGCACAGCGTCAGAATTCAAGCAGAATGAGTTCTTACCTTACAGCAAATTGAAGCTGTGATATCTGGTTAAAGAAAACCTGAAATGCAGAGATTAGCTCAATGGCCACAGTTACACATCAACAAAACCCACTGTGCCTCAGAGGCATTTCTTATGAGTCTGATAGCAATATTCATGTACGAAAAGGATGTATTTGATGTCTTGCCTCGAAGGAAGCACGAACAAGATATTTTATTATCACTCTCAAGGGCCCAAGAACTTGAGAACTGTACAGAGCAGAACCTGACATGTCAATGGTTGAGTTTGCTTTTACCATCTGTGTGAACGGCAGCTTGTCTTTGCATGCTTAATTTTTCCTACCATCGTCTGGCAATCTCACATGCAAGATTTGAGCCTCTGTAGACTTGGGGGTCTACCTACAAACTACACCTACAACAGGAGAAACATTTTCTCTGATGATCTTCTGCTGACACGCAAAAAGCATTTTTATCCAGACAGACTTTTGGTCCCATAAGCTGACTTGTTATGATTTGCAGTTTGCTCAATTGGATGTTGTTTTTATCAGTTTTACCTTCTTTTATGCTGTTCCCATTTTATCCTTTGTATTTTACTCTGTTAACCGCCTTCAGCAGTATTATACACATATTATACATACCTAACAAACAAACAAAATGAAGTGCTGGTTATGATGAATATATTGAGCTTGCACACTCTGGATTTTCCCTTTCAATCTGTGCAGTTAGGAGCCTGGTTTTTTCCCCAGCATGTATGCATTTTTCAATGAAAGCCCAACAAGACTTGTTCCTAAGCACTTGCCCCCAAATATTAAAAAATTAACCTCAAAGCAGCAACCTTCAGGCTTTAGCATGACAGTGAAAGACGGGGTCAGGATACACTAGCGGCTTCAGTTACAGAAGCCTCTTTCACATAATGTTCACAAAAGCTGTTCCCGTTGCCAAGGAAACGGGATGCCTCCTTTCTGTCAAGGACACTGTGGCTGCTGTTCCCTACCTGTGTACTGCTGCCTGATGCAACTCAGGGTAATCTGAGCCTTGGCAAATTACGCCACCAAGATTTCAAGTCACAAAGTTGCTACCTTTTCAACAACATCTGTAGGGTGTGCAGTTCCGCCACCCAGTACAGACATGCTCACTATGTATCATAAAGTTCTAACACTTAAACACACCCTACCACCACTTTAGATTTCCCACAACAGTGCTTTGCTCCAAGCAATACACATTCAATTTATTTCCTAGGAAAAGAAACGCAAAAGGATATCGTTGCACTTTTGCTGGTATTCTGTCAGCAAGTGGCTGTAAGAGAGAGAAGGGGGGGGGGGAGAATTAAATGCAGGTCCATGCTGAACAAACAAATACATGAAATATTATTGCGCCTGGTGCATACTGAAACTGATCTCTGTGCTTTATAGATTAGTTAGCAAGGGCAGATATGCTTTCTCACATTACTATAAAAAATCAGATTGATTTATTTAAAAAATGTAACATGTCCTTCCACTTCTCACACCAATATAGATAATACGTTGCACATACAGTATGGTCGCACATAATGTAAAGCCAAACCATGCCTTAGTGTAAGTGTGTGGGTTATCAGTGAGGGCTACCTGGAAGTAAGATATGGTTTGGCTCTCAGTGTGTTATCCAAACCCAAGCTCATGGACTGGCTCACTCCAGACAAACCACGAGCCGTAACCAAGGTCTGCTCCTGGTTTACATCTTGTACCATATATGCCACACTACGCCAAACCATGGCTTTGCTCTGGGCAGCACAACAGCAGGAAGAGGGCAATTGTTGTCACCTTCTCTTCAGTAGCCTGTGTGCTCGTGCTAAGTCATCTTTAGCTTAGCATGATGTGCTACCTGAATCAATGTTTGCCCATTTATAGTCCTTCCCCAACACAGCGCCTTTGTGGACTACGAGAACTCCTGCAGTCCTGTGTGGTGTAGTGGTTAAAAGCGAGTTAAAAGTGGTTAAAAGGGAGCCAGTGTGGTGTAGTGGTTAAGAGCGGTAGTCTCGTAATCTGGTGAACCGGGTTCGCGTCTCCGCTCCTCCACATGCAGCTGCTGGGTGACCTTGGGCTAGTCACACTTCTCTGAAGTCTCTCAGCCCCACTCACCTCCCAGAGTGTTTGTTGTGGGGGAGGAAGGGAAAGGAGAATGTTAGCCGCTTTGAGACTCCTTAAAGGGAGTGAAAGGCGGGATATCAAATCCAAACTCTTCTTCTTCTGCTGCTGCTTCACTGCATCAGGGCCATACTGAATGCAATTTTGCAGAGCAGGGGATTTTACTCCCATTGGGTTTGAATAAAATTGAAAGCAATCAAGCTGTGCACAAGAACGGAAAAATGAAAACAGTTGTTATGCATACACAGGCGAAAAATACATTTGTGCAAAAATGGTGACAACGTACTTACTCAGTATCAATGATCTTTTGCTTTAATGCAATTAGGGCAGCTACGTATTCGTTTAAATTCTGAAAGAAAAAATTGTAGAAGCCAGTTAAGGAAATACAGCCCCCACACTCCAATAATATATTTTAAGTTCGTACTACCCAAACTGGGAACATGTTAGGAACCTTTAGTCTGCAGACAGCAAAAAAGTAGGGAAACTGAAAGGCAATGCAATCACAGACAAGATGAAGCAGGTGGCAAATGAATATGTAAAAATCACTTAGATGATTTTTTTTTAAATAAAAAAATTAAAAGGGAAAAGAACCCGAATAAGCTTAGTATATTTACAGTACCTAAATTAAAAAAAGAAGCAGTGGACAGAGCTCCATGCCCCAGGTGCCCAGAAATTAGGAATTTTAGGCATATCCTAAGCATTAGAATAAGGGACGCGGGTGGCGCTGTGGGTTAAACCACTGTGCCGCTTGGGCTTGCTGATCGAAAGGTTGGAAGTTCGAATCCCTGCAATGGGGTGAGCTCCCGTTGCTCGGTCCCTGCTCCTGCCAACCTAGCAGTTTGAAAGCACGTCAAAGTGCAAGTAGATAAATAGGTACCACTCCGGCGGGAAGGTAAACGGCATTTCGTGCACTGCTCTGGTTCGCCAGAAGTGGCTTAGTCATGCTGGCCACATGACCTGGAAGCTGTACGCCGGCTCCCTTGGCCAATAAAGTGAGATGAGCGCCGCAACCCCAGAGTCATTCACGACTGGACTTAATTGTCAGGGGTCCCTTTACCTTTAAGCATTAGAATATACAAACCCAAGTTTAGCCTTTTCAGTGGTAGCTCTGCATTTGTAGAATGACCTTCCTTTCGAAGGCTTGTCTTGCCCTCACTTTATATTCGTTTAGACACCAGGCAAAAGCTCATCTTTTTTGCCACACTTTTAGAGTTTGGTGGGGAAGAGTCGTTCCCGAGTTTTGATGCTGGCAGTTATGTTATTGTGCTCCTTTCCTGGCCAATTTTCAACAGGTTTCCTAACATTTGGTGGGAAACTTGGAACCTGAGCATCTTTAAGAATTAAGTAAAATTAATTTAAACGGAATGTGAGAAGGATTTGAAATCTATTTGTTCAGCAGCATCATATAGTGTGGTTTAAAACATATTTCAAAATGTCAGGGACAAGATGGATTAGGAGTTGTGGGCACCTTCTTTTTCAAGTATGAAAGCAACAAGCAATCACAATAGAGTTTTTAAAGCTATTTGTGACTATATGTCTCATATTCAGGCAGGCTTGTAGATCACTGTTTGCCGGCTTGGTTACAGCAAGTAAGAATCATCACCAGGTGACCAAGTAGGGAAGACTTTGTTCATTGGAAGATACTTTCTTCTCCTTTCAAATTGTTGATGTGTTACAAATCCTTGAAATAGGTATGCGTGAGCAGGAAGTGAGCCCATAAACATTTCCTACTTGTATATATTATCTCAAGCAGTTCCATCCAAATTTTACTGGGTTTGAATTATTCAATCGTCTTGATCCTTTTCTGTTTTCCTTCTCTCTACCTTCTGTGACAAGTTCCGCTGCATATTTCTTTAAAGGACTCACGGCCCTAAATCAGTATTTTCAGTGAGCTACCCACAATGACTTTGAAGTCTCTTACAGCACAATCCTAACTATGTCTACCCATAAGTAAATGCTACTGATTCCAATGGGGCTTACTCTCAGGTAAGTGGGATTACAACTACAGCCTTAGGTTGTGATCTTACTGCAACTTCTCCAGTGCTGAGTCCCACTGAACTCAACTGGGCTTACTTCTGAATATGCATATCGGATTATGGTGGTGCTCACTTGATTTTATAGACTTGGGTTAGTTATCTTTTCCTCCCCAACCCTCTGAAATCACCCTTGCAACATACAGTGGTGCCCCACAAGACGAATGCCTCGCAAGACGAAAAACTCGCAAGACGAAAGGTTTTTTCGTTTTCGAGTTGCTTCGCAAGACGAATTTCCCTATGGGCTTGCTTCGCAAGATGAAAACGTCTTGCAAGTTTGTTTCCTTTTTCGTAAAACCGTTAAAACCCAGGGTGCATTGCTGGAAGAGGTGCAGTTGCGACTTGACTTCGAGGAGCAACACATTGCACGCGGTGTGGTGGCCTTTTTGAGCTTTTTAAAGAGTTTGCTGAAATTTTGAAGCTTTTCCAAAACTTCTTTTGCAGCTGTTTGGTAAGTTAAACTTTTAAAACTTTTTGGGGGTTTTTTGGATTTTGGGTTGGGGTGTTTAGAATTCAAGGACTTGGTGTTGGGGAGAGGTTTGCAAGAATCTGGGAGCTTGTGTGGTTTTTTCTGCATTTTTATGATTTTCTGTGACCATTGGGCCATGTTTATTTTTTTTTGAAAAAAAAATCTGGGTTTGAATTTCTGTGTGCTGGGTGGCTGGGGGAACAGTTGGGGAGGGGTTTGCAAGAATCTGGGAGCTTGTGTGGGGTTTTTTTTTGAATTTTTATGGTTTTCTGTGACCATTGGGCCATGTTGGTTTTTTTTGAAAAAATTTCTGGGTTTGAATTTCTGTGTGCTGGGTGGATGGGGGAACAGCTGGGGAGGGGTTTGCAAGAATCTGGGAGCTTGTGTGGTTTTTTTTGAATTTTTATGGTCTTCTGTGACCATTGGGCCATGTTGTTTTTTTAAAAAAAAATTTTCTGGGTTTTGAATTTCTGTGTGCTGGGTGGCTGGGGGAACAGCTGGGGAGGGGTTTGCAAGAATCTGGGAGCTTGTGTGGGTTTTTTTGAATTTTTATGGTTTTCTGTGACCATTGGGCCATGTTGGTTTTTTTTGAAAAAATTTCTGGGTTTGAATTTCTGTGTGCTGGGTGGATGGGGGAACAGTTGAGGAGGGGTTTGCAACAGTTGGGGAGGGGTTTGCAAGAATCTGGAAGCTTGTGTGGGTTTTTTTTTGAATTTTTATGGTTTTCTGTGACCATTGGGCCATGTTGTTTTTTTTTGAAAAAATTTCTGGGTTTGAATTTCTGTGTGCTGGGTGGATGGGGGAACAGTTGAGGAGGGGTTTGCAACAGTTGGGGAGGGGCTGGGGGAACAGTTGAGGTTTTTGAAGACTTTGGTGATTTTTAAAGCTTTCCCAAAACTTCTTTTGCAGCCATTTGAGGATTCTGAAGACTTTGGTGATTTGCAGCCATTTAGTAAGTTAAACTTTTAAAACTTTTTTTGGGGTTTTTGGATTTTGGGTTGGGTGTTTGGAATTCAAGGACTTGGTTCTGGGTTTGAATTGCTGATTTTCTTTTTCTTTTTCTGAGTTTACAAAGGTAAGAGCTGTACTGCCATGGGACCCAAGAAGACTGCTGTTGCTGCGGAGGCCGGCGAGAGGAAGAAGGAGAAGGTGACGCTGGAAATGAAGAAGGAGATCATCTGGAAGCACAACGGTGGAATGCGTGTGACGGACCTCGCCAGGGAGTACGGCAGGAACCCATCGACCATCGGGACCATCCTGAAGATGAGGGAGAAGATCCTTGCGACTGATGCAGCCAAGGGAGTCACCAGGATCGTGAAGAACCGCCCAGCTGTTCTGGAGGAGGTCGAGAAGTTGCTGCTCATCTGGTTAGAAGAGAAGCAGCGTGCAGGGGACACAGTGACTGAGGCCGTCATTTGTGAGAAGGCCAAGGCCTTGCACGCAGACCTCATCCGGGAACAGCCAAGAACCTCAGGCAAGCCAGAAGTCTTCAAGGCAAGCAGAGGCTGGTTTGACCGGTTCAAGGCAAGATCTGGAATCCACAGCGTGGTCAGGCATGGAGAGGCTGCCAGTTCTGATGTTCCTGCGGCTGAAGACTTTGCCTTGGAGTTCCTGGAGGCTGTGAAGACAGAGGGCTACATTCCACAGCAGGTCTTCAACTGCGACGAGACTGGGCTGTTTTGGAAGAGGATGCCCAAAAGGACTTTCCTCACACAAGAGGAGGCCAAGTTGCCTGGCCACAAGCCCATGAAGGACCGCCTGACCCTGCTCTTCTGTGCCAACGCAAGCGGCGACCTGAAGATCAAGCCCCTGCTGGTGTACCACTCGGAGAACCCACGGGCCTTCAAGAAACACAAGGTTGACAAGGAGCGGCTGAGTGTCATGTGGCGATCCAACAGTAAGGCTTGGGTCACACGTGTGCTGTTTGTGGACTGGGTCAATCCTGCTTTTGGCCCTGCTGTCAAACAGTACCTGCTGGACAACGACCTGCCGCTGAAGGCTTTGCTTCTGATGGACAATGCTCCTGCTCATCCTAAAGGCCTTGAGGTGGACTTGTTGGAGGAGTTCAGCTTCATCAACATCATGTTCCTGCCGCCTAACACCACGCCACTGCTCCAGCCGATGGATCAGCAGGTCATCGCCAATTTCAAAAAACTCTACACCAAGGAGCTTTTCAGGCGATGCTTCGAGGTGACTGATTGCACCACCATCACCCTGCGGGAATTCTGGAAGGACCACTTCGACATCATCACCTGCTTGAAGATGATCACCACGGCCTGGAACGGGATCAGCCAAAGAAATTTGAATTGCGCTTGGCGCAGCCTGTGGCCGGACTGTGTGGCACCAAGTGACTCTGATGCACCAGAGTCAACAGTGGTGCAGGACATTGTTGCCTTGGGGAGGACCATGGGCCTGGAGGTCACAGAGGAGGACGTCTGCGAGCTGGTGGAGGAGCACGACCACGAGCTGACCACCCAGGAGCTGGTTGAACTGCAGTCAGAGGTTGCGCAGGAGCAGGCCTCGCTGGAAGAGGAGGAAGCAACTGAGGAACGGCCGTCCTCCAAAGAACTGAGGGACATTTGCCAGAAGTGGAAGGAGGTGCAGGCTTTTGCAGAGCGGCACCACCCTAACAAGCACGTGGCACATGACCAAGCGAACACTTTTGATACGACGGTCATGTTGCCTCTCAGGGAGCTGCTGAAAAGGCGGATGAAGCAGCAGACCATGGACAGGTTCCTCAGCAAGAAGCAAAGAGTGGAAGAGGAGCCTTCTTCGAGTGGTCCCCCAGAGTCTTAGAAAATGTATGTACAGTACACTTTGTTGATTTTTGAATGTTTTTCTGTCATGTTTAGAAACTTAATTTATTGTTCCTTCAATTTTTGATATGCTCTTTAAAGTATGTGTGACTTTAAAGAGCAGTTAATAAACTATTGTTGTACCAAATTTGGCTTTGATTGGACTTTTTTTGACCATAGGAACGCATTAATTGAATTTCAATGCATTCCTATGGTGCTTCGCAAGACGAAAAATTCGCTAGACGAAAAAACTCGCGGAACGAATTAATTTCGTCTTGCGAGGCACCACTGTACCACTATTATTATTGGTAGTAATCTTTTATTATTACAATTTTTAAATAAATTAATTGGGGTGTATGGGGTGTTAGGGGAGGTGTAGCTAGGGGAGGACATGTTGTGTTCCTTCTGGGGTAGTTTGTCCACCTTTGGTCCCCACCCTGCACTCAGCTCTCAGCTGTATCTCCTAGAAGCTGCCAGCATGGGACAGCGGCCATAATCCCAGGAAACGGCTTCAGCTGGCCAGCTAAACCAGGTGAGGGGAGCCAATGGGCCTCAAACCCTCTGTGAGTTAGGGACTTCCCCTGCATGCTCTGGCGGATTGTGTGGATGAGACCAATCGCGGGTCCAACAGTCAAGAAGATGGTTTCTGCACATGTTGTAGAGGGAAGCGAGGGGTGCGTGGGGCTCATCAACCTGGGAAAGTAGACCATTTAGGAGAAAGAACACTCTAGTCCTAAACCTCTGCTTCCTTGTGGCAGCAGAGAAGGCTAAGGAGAAGGCTAAGGAGTAAACCCTCCAGAAATCCAGAGTGGAGTCCCTAAGACAGTTGGATGGTGTCATGTCTGCTACCTTCCGGCACATAGCTGTCAACGTTTCCCTTTTTTTAAGGGAAATTCCCTTATACCGAATAGGATTCCTCTCAAGAAAAGGGAAAAGTTGACAGCTATGCACCTATGCAACTCCTGCACCTAAGCTGGTGCCAAACGTACTGCTCTGCTTTTGTTCGGACCCCATCAACAAGGGTTGTGTCATCTAGGCCCCCCAAGCTCCCCCCATACACACTGCCCAGGTTTGTGCTCCGGGGAGGTCAGTTTAGTGATGCAGTTTGACTTCACCCCTGGAGGAGCATCCATTGTCTCCTGAGACAGATGCCAACAACCATTTATTAATCGCCTTCTAAATCACTGTCTCAAGGCAATTTACACATAAGATAAGACAATTTACAAATTCCATGTCTGCTAAAAACATTCCTGTTTTAGACAAGGCTACCCAGATACTTAGAAAGTTGAGGTGATTTTAATCCATTTTTGGTTTTTTTAACTTTTGTATCTTTTAAACCATGGATATGAATTATTCTTGATTTTATTGTGTTATCTTTCTGTAAACTGCTTTGGTTTGTGTGGGTTTTTTTTTACAATGAGGCAGTGTATAAATTTTATGAAATACAGTAAATAGTTAAAAACACAAAAACAACAAATATTTTTAAAATGAGACTAAATCTTAGCAAGTGGACACTCACAAAGTTTGGGGAGCTGCTTCTGAAAAGTGCAGATACTGGGTACCTGTCTCAACAAGAATGCTTCTCCACAGAACAGGGGTAGCCCTGCTGTGTGTTACTGTGGAGAGGGTTTCTGAGATATTTGGGACTTGAAGGAGAAACTCCCTTGTAGACTGCAGTGTTCTACTGGGTGTATAAGGCAGCCTCTCAAGTAATCTGGTATCAGCTAAGGACTACAATAGGTTCCTGGAATGCCTCATAGCTTGCTTTATCCACAATTTGCCAGAACATTTCTATAGCACCTGAATGTGTTTTTTTAAAAAATAAATACCCAGATCGCTCATATGAAAAACAGTTGAGAATGTGAAGACGCATGCCTATATATCTCCCTCTGAGACAAGTGATCAGCTATGCCATCCATCAACTCATATTTTACAGTGAGGTATCAAATATGATAGGGACGCGGGTGGCGCTGTGGGTTAAACCACAGAGCCTAGGACTTGCCGATCAGAAGGTCGGCGGTTCAAATCCCCACAACGGGGAGAGCTCCCGTTGCTCGGTCCCTGCTCCTGCCAACCTAGCAGTTCGAAAGCACGTCAAAGTGCAAGCAGATAAATAGGCACCGCTCCAGCGGGAAGGTAAACGGCGTTTCCGTGCGCTGCTCTGGTTCGCCAGAAACGGCTTAGTCATGCTGGCCACATGACCCGGGAGCTGTACACTGGCTCCCTCGGCCAGTAAAGCGAGATGAGCGCCGCAACCCTAGAGTCAACTACTACTGGACCTAATGGTCAGGGGTCCCTTTACCTTTACTTTATCAAATATGATAGATGCAAGAACCTCAAAGCCAAACTGCAGCTTTCTAGCATTTTGGATATAGCTTCTATTTGAGGTATGGACAGCTTGCCCTCTTCCTGTTATACAGCGGTGATTCCCAGAGTTGTCAATGAAGACAGGCTTCCTATAAAATTTGCTATGGAAGAACAAGTAGCATAAGGTCCTTGGGAAGAAGAGAATCCTTTGAAGGGTCAGCAAAACTTGCAGGAAAGGGTGATGTAACATACCTGCAAACACTGTAGAGTTGTGATATTCTACAAACTACAATTAAGGGACGAAGGAAAAATAGGTGAGCTGTACTACAAATTCCTATGCTAAACTGTACCTCAGAAGGCTTTCTCCTTCGGCTGACATATACATGCACAAACACAAATATGTTCTTTCACTCGTTCTCACTTTGCAGCAAGCAATGGAATTTCACGAATGGATTTCAAAGTCACAGCAATGGGAAGCAATGATCACATTAAAACCTTTATGTTCAGGAAGCTATGGCTCTTTCAGACAATGGTGCAATTAGGAAAATGGTACTGAGTTATACTAGAATTTCAAAGATATATTACTTACTAAAATTGAATAGCATATAAAGTAATTATATATGAGTTTAGGGTAGCGGACTTTGTCTATTGTTAGCAGAATATGCAAATGATCAGGCTGAAAGTGTTAACTAAGAAGCAAGTCCCAATGTGTTTAGGGGGGCTTACTCCAGGTATTTAGGACTGCAACCTTACTTTGTGTGTATTGAAAAGTTTGCTGTTACTTAATTTTATGGTGTTCTGTACAATAACGTTGAGATAATAAAAGTTTTGTTTTTGTTTACAACAGCACTAATAGTTTCCCCCCTCCCATTTTTTTTTTTTTGGGGGGGGGGGGGCTTATTTTAGTCCTGTTTTCCCAGTAGCAAAAGCCAAAATAGGTTCCTTAGATTACAGGAGTTTACAACTGTATTTCTCACTGCATACACATATATTTTAAAGCTATATTTATTTTCAGGGAATGACTAACAACATAAAAAATTACCAAGAAACCTACCCAATCCTCTAAGTTCAAATCACCAATAGGCCCTTTAAACAAAATAAGGGCAGATCACAAGCAAGTCAAAGTAGTCTCAGCAAATGAATAAACGTGTATTCAAAAATGTTTACTGGGCTGCTTAGGAAAGACCACAATGTAAACTTCATTATCTAACAGAAAATGTTATCGAAACCTGATAGACCGATTTAGCCACAGTCCACTTTAATTTGACTAATGTGCTTTCCCCTCACTAAAACAATTCAATTCAATTCAAACAATCTTTTTATACATCATTCCACAGTACGTTCTTTTATTAACAGACCACACAGCAAAATGATATATGGAAAGTGACACTTGTTTTCGAAGTTCGTGAAACAGCGGTGAATTAGATTTGATGGGGGAAATAAATACACGCTGAGGCTTCAACGTTGCTCCAGCTCCAAAGCTGCCTGGAAATCTAGCATTTGCACAACACATGCAAGAGTATGTGAGCAGCTCCTAATCAGGCAGGTCCAAAAGGAGCTCTTTACATGCCCCGAGGCACGACCCAGGGCACTGAACATGGAGCTCTTCACATGTTCAAAGGCACAGAACGGGGAACTCTTCACATGCCCCAAGGCACTGAACAGGGAACTCTTCACATGCCCCAAGGCACTGAACAGGGAACACATGCTCAAAGGCACAGAACCAGGAACTCTTCACATGCCCCAAGGCACTGAACAGGGAACTCTTCACATGCCCCAAGGCACTGAACAGGGAACTCTTCACATGCCCCAAGGCACTGAACAGGGAACTCTTCACATGCCCCAAGGCACTGAACAGGGAACTCTTCACATGCCCCAAGGCACTGAACAGGAAACTCTTCACATGCCCCAAGGCACTGAACAGGGAACACATGTTCAAAGGCACAGAACAAGGAACTATTCACATGCCCCAAGGAACTGAACAGGGAACTCTTCACAGGCTCAAAGGCGCTGAACAGAGAACTCTTCACATGCCCCAAGGCACTGAACAGGGAACTCTTCACAGGCTCAAAGGCACCGAACAGGGAACTCTTCACATGCTCAAAGGCACTGAACAAGGAACTCTTCACATGCCCCAAGGCACTGAACAGGGAACTCTTCACATGCCCCAAGGCACTGAACAGGGAACACATGCTCAAAGGCACCGAACAGGGAACTCTTCACATGCTCAAAGGCACTGAACAGAGAACTCTTCACATGCCCCAAGGCACTGAACAGGGAACTCTTCACATGCCCCAAGGCACTGAACAGGGAACTCTTCACATGCCCCAAGGCACTGAACAGGGAACTCTTCACATGCCCCAAGGCACTGAACAGGGAACTCTTCACATGCCCCAAGGCACTGAACAGGGAACTCTTCACATGTCTCAAGGCACCGAACAGGGAACTCTTCACATGCCCCAAGGCACAGAACAAGGAACTCTTCACATGCCCCAAGGCACTGAACAGGGAACTCTTCACATGCTCAAAGGCACTGAACAAGGAACTCTTCACATGCCCCAAGGCACTGAACAGGAACTCTGCACATGCCCCAAGACACTGAACAGGGAACTCTGCACATGCCCCAAGGCACTGAACAGGGAACTCTTCACATGCCCCAAGACACTGAACAGGGAACTCTGCACATGCCCCAAGGCACTGAACAGGGAACTCTTCACATGCTCAAAGGCACTGAACAAGGAACTCTTCACATGCCCCAAGGCACTGAACAGGGAACTCTTCACATGCCCCAAGACACTGAACAGGGAACTCTGCACACGCCCCAAGGCACTGAACAGGGAACTCTGCACATGCCCCAAGGCACTGAACAAGGAACTCTTCACATGCCCCAAGGCACTGAACAGGGAACTCTGCACATGCCCCAAGACACTGAACAGGGAACTCTTCACATGCTCAAAGGCACCGAACAGGGAACTCTTCACATGCCCCAAGGCACTGAACAGGGAACTCTTCACATGCCCCAAGGCACTGAACAGGGAACTCTTCACATGCCCCAAGGCACTGAACAGGGAACTCTTCACATGTCTCAAGGCACCGAACAGGGAACTCTTCACATGCCCCAAGGCACAGAACAAGGAACTCTTCACATGCCCCAAGGCACTGAACAGGGAACTCTTCACATGCTCAAAGGCACTGAACAAGGAACTCTTCACATGCCCCAAGGCACTGAACAGGGAACTCTGCACATGCCCCAAGACACTGAACAGGGAACTCTGCACATGCCCCAAGGCACTGAACAGGGAACTCTTCACATGCCCCAAGACACTGAACAGGGAACTCTGCACATGCCCCAAGGCACTGAACAGGGAACTCTTCACATGCTCAAAGGCACTGAACAAGGAACTCTTCACATGCCCCAAGGCACTGAACAGGGAACTCTTCACATGCCCCAAGACACTGAACAGGGAACTCTGCACACGCCCCAAGGCACTGAACAGGGAACTCTGCACATGCCCCAAGGCACTGAACAAGGAACTCTTCACATGCCCCAAGGCACTGAACAGGGAACTCTTCACATGCCCCAAGACACTGAACAGGGAACTCTTCACATGCTCAAAGGCACCGAACAGGGAACTCTTCCCATGCCCCAAGGCACTGAACAGGGAACTCTTCACATGCCCCAAGGCACTGAACAGGGAACTCTTCACATGCCCCAAGGCACTGAACAGGGAACTCTTCACATGCTCAAAGGCACTGAACAAGGAACTCTTCACATGCCCCAAGGCACTGAACAGGGAACTCTTCACATGCCCCAAGGCACTGAACAGGGAACTCTTCACATGCCCCAAGGCACTGAACAGGGAACTCTTCACATGCCCCAAGACACTGAACAGGGAACTCTGCACATGCCCCAAGGCACTGAACAGGGAACTCTTCACATGCTCAAAGGCACTGAACAAGGAACTCTTCACATGCCCCAAGGCACTGAACAGGGAACTCTTCACATGCCCCAAGACACTGAACAGGGAACTCTGCACACGCCCCAAGGCACTGAACAGGGAACTCTGCACATGCCCCAAGGCACTGAACAAGGAACTCTTCACATGCCCCAAGGCACTGAACAGGGAACTCTTCACATGCCCCAAGACACTGAACAGGGAACTCTTCACATGCTCAAAGGCACCGAACAGGGAACTCTTCCCATGCCCCAAGGCACGTTCCAGGGCACCGGCCTGAATTCAGAAGCCTACCACAAGCCCCCGGTTTCGCTCCCTACCTGCTGGAGGGCCCCGCAGTTGGCGCAGGCCGTGGCCGCCTCCGCCGCGATCCCCGCTGCGGCCGCCGCGGGCGGGGTCTCCCCGGGCATCATGGTTGCCGCCTTCGCCCATCCGTCGCCGGTCACCGACCAGCCTCGGGCGGCAGCGGCAGCGGCACGAGTGACGGAATCCGGAGGCCGAAGCAAGGAAGGTCCTCTCCGGGCGCCCCGCGACGCGACGCACAGCGGGAAAGGTCCCCACCACCCGCGTCCTGGTGGAAAAGCTGTCCATGGCGCTGCCTAACAAAAACGATATATGAATAGGAGTGGCTGACCCATTTTTAGGCTTTTCCAGGCACAGAACGACAATGGTTCTCTCACCCTCCGCAGCCACCCGCTGAACGGACTCTGCCCTTAGATGCTCCGCTGTGAAGGGATTTCCGTGTTCGGACAAGGCACTAGGATAGGTCAGGCGGGGAACCATGGCGACGACTTCCCTCGTTGCCAAGGAGCCGGCAAGGGAGCGGCCTACAAATCCCAACATGCCGCGCGCGACTCTCGCTTTTTTTTTTTTTTTTTTGACCGGGGTGCCAAAGTTTGGGGACGGGATCGCTGGCAGGCCAAAAAGGTAAAGAAAGGAGAGTGGCTGATTTCCTTCAGAGTGGAGAGGTTTGATCTTCTTGCAGTCCATGGGACTCTCAAGAGTCTCCTCCAGCACCATAATTCAAAAGCATCAATTCTTTGGTGATCAGCCTTCTTTATGGTCCAGCTCTCACTTCCATACATCACTACTGGGAAAACCATAGCTTTTACTATACGGACCTTTGTTGGCAGGTGATGTCTCTGCTTTTTAAGATGCTGTCTAGGTTTGTCATTGCTTTTCTCCCAAGAAGCAGGCATCTTTTAATTTCGTGGCTGCTGTCACCATCTGCAGTGATCATGGAACGCAAGCAAGTAAAATCTCCCACTGCTTCCATTTCTTCCCCTTCTATTTGCCAGGAGGTGATGGGACCAGTGGCCATGATCTTCTTCTTTTTTTGATGTTGAGCTTCAGACCATATTTTGCGCTCTCCTCTTTCACCCTCATTAAAAGGTTCTTTAATTCCTCCTCACTTTCTGCCGTCAAGGTTGTGTCATCTGCATATCTGAGGTTGTTGATATTTCTTCCAGCAATCTTAATTCCGGCTTTCAGCCTTTCGCATGATGAATTCTGCATATAAGTTAAATAAGCAGGGAGACAATATTCAGCCTTGTCATACTCCTTTCCCAATTTTCAACCAATTTGTTGTTCCATATCCAGTTCTAACTGTAGCTTCTTGTCCCACATAGAGATTTCTCAGGAGAAAGATGGGGTGATCAGGCACTCCCATTTCTTTAAGAACTTGCCATAGTCTGCTGAGGTCGACACAGTCAAAAGTTCTAGTGCTTTGTTAAAGAGAAAGTACCTGTCGCTCACAAGCCCCTGTAGGACAGACTCCACAGCAAGGAGAGGGGCTGTCTTTGAGCATGTGAAGAGCTCCCTGTTCAGTGCCTTTGAGCATGTGAAGAGCTCCCTGTTCAGGGCCTTGGAGTAGGTTAAGAGCTCCCTCTTCAGTGCCTTGGGGCGTGTGAGGAGTTCCATGTTCAGTGCCTTTGTTCATGAAGCTATTTGTGGATACATTCTTTATACCGTAGAACAGGATATGTTACATGAGAACGCAAGTGGTGGCTGATACCCCAAAGATTACCGACGTTTCTGTTAAGCTGTGGGTGAACATATCAGACGACACAGCGATTCTTCAAACAGCTCTTCTTTATTCACAGGCCAGAACAGAACTGAAGGGTTCAGCCAGCCTGCTTATACAGAGCTCCACTAGAACGCAACAATAACCATTTTCTGTAGCTATCCAATCACTGAACGTCACTTTCGATCCCTTATTTGCATATGGGGACCTGAACTATCTACAGTATCCCCCTGCTGGCCCAAGGTGAGAACTTCAGTACATAACAGCTTCTTTCCCCTTTCTGGGCTTTGCGCCCAGCCCCCCAAGCTCACAGATAAGGGTACCATCCAAGCAGGCCAATTTGTGGGTATCAACGCGAGCTGTGTATGAGCTCAATGCTGCAGCTACTGCTGCCCATTAAGAATGGCGTCATCTTGGAGGGGCCACTAGGGGCGCATCGGAAGATGGCTGACAATAACATCTCTCCGACCCACACGAGGTAATTAGGAGTCTGTGATGAGAGTAAATAGCCTCCCTACCCCCCCAAGGTTATGGGGGGGCTGCCCTTGCCTGCTGTGCTCTATACCACCCCCGAATTTGTGGGGATGGGGGCACTAGGCAGAATGCCCTCCTGTGGATCTCGGTGCTCCTGGTCGCTGTCTCTGATCCGCGCCGCTAGCTGCAAGAACTTCAAAAGGAACAATTAGGAAGAAGCGAATGCACATATTTCAAGGAAGGAGGGGGAGTAAAGACTGCTAACTGAAGAGTTCTCTGATAAACAAGATGAGTCGGAGGAACAAGAATCAATCATGAGAAGATATGCCAAGACTCGGTATGGCAAAGGGACTGGATGGGGGAGGGGAAAAAAACCTTTCCTTTCTTTCCTCTATGTGATTAAACAAGAATCCCCCCCACCCTCACAAGTCAGAAATGCCGTTTTAATGACTTAAGCTGTGGATTTACGGCTGTGTGGAGATAAATTTTTTAACCAAAGCATGTTTTAAGAAAAGCGTGGAAAGTTTAAGAGTTTTGGAATGACGCAGTTAAAAATACCGTCGCCATGTTGGCAAGCTCTGTCGGAGGACTTGAGTCTGGGAGGAGGAAAAGAGCTGTTTTTATATTGTGGGTGAGACTCCTCAGTGGGACTTAAGAACGACAGATCCTGAGATTAATGATGGAAAGAGCGATGTTATTTATGAAAGTGATGATATATGGAAACCATCTCAATATGAGGATTGGACGAACGGAAAAATCCACACAGGATATAATTGGTGTTTATCTGCTTAAGGAGATTATCAGAAGAGGTCATAAAGAAAAAAAGAAAAAATATACGAACAAGATGAGATGTGGAAACAGCAAGATAAGACTGGATAGAATTATGAACTTTATTTGGACTGATTTGGATAT